GCCTGACAAAAACATAAACAGTTAAAACTGATTTCATTTGCATGATCTGTTTTTTCTGTCATAAGGACATTATAGATATACTATTTATTATGGGCGGCCATTCGATAAAAAAATACAAAGTTGAAAAAAGGACAAAAGTACGCAATTAAGGTCAAATATTACTAATAAAGAACTAAATGTTACTACTAAAGGTCAAAATACAAAACAAACAGACGAGGGTTAAACATACAAAGTTGAAATAAATGTCAAAAGTACGCAAGACTACGCATAATTTATCCCCTTAACCCCTGATTCTCACAGTATGTATAACTTTTAAATATTAGAGTATCATTATAACTTTCAACGTAACTTGCTCTGCCTTGCATTTTCATATTCTAGTAGACAAGATTGATTGTTTGTTTGCTGTTTAACGCCACACTCAGCAATATTCCAGCTGTATGACGGCGGTCTGTAAATAATCGAGTCTGGACCTGACATCCAAGTGACTGACATCATGAGCATCGATCCATGCAATTGGGATACGATGACATGCATCAACCAAGTCAGCGAGCCTGACCACCCGATCCCATTAGTCGTCTCTTACGACAAGCATAGTCGCCTTTTACGGCAAGCATGGGTTGCTGAAGACCTATTCTACCCCGGATCTTCGTGGGTCTAGTAGACAAGAAGCAGATGTATCATTGAAATAAAAGTTGGGACATTGGCTTCATGAGGTAAATAAATTCCCAAATTATCACACTTCCAGCATCACTGCTGGATGAGGCGTGTTTCTTGTTATTTCCTTATTGTTGTTGGCAAGACTGGAAGCAGTCGGACTACATATCTACCTACTCTGTAGATTGTGAGAGAACATGAGATCACTTTCTATGAATGTCTCTATTTACCAATAAGAGCAAACCTCCCTTCTAACGAAAGAGATCACTTATAGATGACTAATTGGCAGCGAAATAATTGACCCCAAAACAAATTCCTGAAATCATTCCATTGACATTGACAAATTGAAAAATAAAACAGAAAATGAGAAATAGCACGCCAAGTTGCTGCTGCTTACAATGTACCAAGTTTACTGGCATAACAAATCTGAATCTCATTCTCTACCTAGACCTCATGCCAATGTTTCCGATTCTAGACTGTGTTATTTTTCAGAAGAAGAAAATTTCAAACAATTTATCGCCCAATAATTTTTGTATTAAAAAAAAGGAATAAAGAAAATTGTATCATTTTAGCGCCTTAAAAAATATCAGTCAGACTATGATGTAAGAAATCCTCAAGTTTCAATTTGGCCATTTCGGTGAAGAAGTTCACATAAGATACTTTGACCTTTGGTCCTGGTGAGTTAAATATTAGAGATGAAAATCAAACATCAAATCCACTGTTAATATGTCAGTCCTGTCACTTTTACTACATACCAAGATCCGGGGTAGAATAGGTCTTCAGCAACCCATGCTTGCCGTAAAAGGCGACTAAGCTTGTCGTAAAAGGCGACTAACGGAATCGGCTGGTCAGGCTCGCTGACTTGGTTGATGCATGTCATCGATCGCAATTGCGCTGATCGATGCTCATGATGTCAATCACTGGATTGTCTGGGCCGGACTCGATTATTTAACAGACCGCCATCATATAGCCGTAATGTTGCTGAGTGCGGCGTTAAACAACAAACAAACAAACAAACAACATACCCTGGCAGGACTGGCTACATACCTGACTCGTCTATGGTAGCCTTCAGCACATGAGCAAACACTGCAGTGATTGGAAACTGCATCAGTATCGACACGATGTCATTCTCATGGAGGTACAGCCAGGCATGGGACGGGTCCTCATCCTGGATGAAACACGATATAAACATACGGGTCATTATCAAACTTAGTACCTCTTTTGGTCCTGTTGAATAACAAAAATAAAACTGGAAAGTTCCAACTTTTAGTGATTTAACAAGAAACATCTAAATTTAACAAATAGTTTCAACACAAGGAAACATAATTGTGTCATATTTTATTATACCGGAGAAACAGTAGAAAATGATTGTCCTTTGTGTCTCCATTATAGTAAATGATATTTTGAAGAGAAAAAAAAAATACAATATTTCTTTCAATGTATTATTGTAAAATTAACATTTTACCTCTGCCGAGAAAAAAAATAATCACACTTTCAATATCACCATGATTTAAAGCCTGGTTCATTACCCTCTAAGAGAAATAAAATTGTAACTTTTCTAATAAATTGTATATTTATATACTGATCCTATCGCACAATGTTTCCAGACTGGCTGATAATAACACGTAATGTTGTATTGTGTGAACAAGCATGTACCTCTTCTCCATCAGAGAAAAAAAAAATACAATATTTCTTTCAATGTATTATTGTAAAATTAACATTTTACCTCTGCCGAGAAAAAAAAAATCACACTTTCAATATCACCATGATTTAAAGCCTGGTTCATTACCCTCTAAGAGAAATAAAATTGTAACTTTTCTAATAAATTGTATATTTATATACTGATCCTATTGCACAATGTTTCCAGACTGGCTGATAATAACATGTAATGTTGTATTGTGTGAACAAGCATGTACCTCTTCTCCGTCAGAGTCCACCAGGATCCAGGTGTTCTCCATCTGCATGCTCTCGTTGGTCAGGGAGGTCCGCATCTGACTCATAAACTCCTCGCGGCATCTAAACAAGTACAGTTATCTTTATCAGTGTGCCAGACTCACATGTGTTTTGTTTCTGACTATTGTCCAATGGTTTTCATCAGCCTTGGAAATTGGCACTAGTCCTGTAGCCCTTGCCAAACTGCCAATAGTTAAGGTATCATAGGGACTAGTAGAAATTTGCCATTTTTAAGGGTTTTGCTCTATATAATGATTCTGAGGACTAGTGGACTTAACGTGTTAGTTTCTACCGCTGTTTTCATGCTGTTTGTTTATTTGTTTGAAACCTCCTTCAGCAATATTTCAGCTGCATGACAGCGGTCAGCAAATAATCAATTCTGGTCCAGACAATCCAGTGATTGACACCACGAGCATCAATTTACAAAGTTGGGAAGGATGACATGCATCAACCAAGTCAGAGAGTCTGACCACCCGAACCCGTTAGTCGCACTTTACGACAAGCATAATTGGTTTTCACACTGCCTGGAAGTTGTGTGACTATGTTTTGTTTGCCCACGTTGTTTCTCATTCCTATTTTGTTTTAATGTTTTAAATTAAAAAGCATTGTGGTTTCCATGGTAACTGCAGGATTTAATAAGAAATCTTTAATATTTATCACTGTCTATTCCTTCAGTGCATATTAGAGGGATGGTATTGTATTGGCTTGGCTTGGCTTGTCTATCTCCATGATGTGTCTCAGGATCATAGCTTGAAGTGGGAATAGGATCTAGGGCTGGGGCGAGTCTGAATTTACTACCCGGGTACCCGCCCCCCTTGTACCCGACCCGACCCGACCCTACCCGGGTACCCACTGTAGGTCTCAAGAGATAATTACAAAATGTCCGAATTTACTGCCAGGGTACCCGCCCCCCTAGTACCCGACCCGACCCTACCCGGGTACCCACTGTAGGTCTCAAGAGATAGGTGCAAAATGTCCGAATGGGCATTTTTTTACCATAGCAGTGGCAAAATGTATTTAGATACATGTATTAAACAATCTGGTCATGCATACACTGAAGTTGACTCAAGTTATATCTTTATTCAAAGATATGAAAAGTCAGAAGGAATGGGTGCAAACAATGTTGACTTGTAGTGTAACCATAGAGGTCAAGAAGCAGTAATTTGACAGAAGTACTGTAATACATCTGTAATTATAATGATGAAAAGTGTGGCTACCTACATTTTGTCTCTGGCTCCTTAAAATTTCAAATGGCTTCCTGAAAAAATGAGAGAGCCAGGTGGCTCCTTTGAGAAAAGATTAACAGTGAGGCCTGATCTACTGCAATTTAACCCTCCTTCTTCAGGCTGGATGAAGATGATGAATTCATTGACACAACTTCAGCAACAAGTGTGACCTGGGTCTAGTTCTACTCACTGTGTTGGGAAGAGTACTGTAGCCAATGCAGTGACAAGATGATCCAGCACTGGGCTCCCAAAGGCTCCCTGCATGGAGCACGGTCCGGGATCAGGAACCTGTATCAGCTTGGTCGCCCACTTCCCTACCCCGGTCGGACATCGCAGGACGTGGTTCAGGGTGAACAGGTGGTCATCAAATGTTGCTACTCTTAGAAGTGCTGCCACCTGACATTTCAAACATCTATGTGAACAACTAAACTCTACTTCTTTTTTCTGAACTTTTGTCGGTGGGATACCCTACAAAAATACCACACAGTCCGACCTCAGAATCATTAGCTTCAAAAGAAAACAGTATAACGGTTGTCAGATGTTCGGGTTTGATTTAAACCAAGTCGAACACAAGGCACACAATCACATACATGTCTTATACATAAATGATCACTAATTACTGATATTATACAAAACTATTCCAATTACAGCTGCACTCGACCGCCTCCATGGTCTAGAGGATACAGTGTCTGGTGAGCGAAAGGTTGGTGGTTCAATCCACGGCAGCGTCATACCAAAAGGTGTTAAAAGATGGTACTTGTTATTACCCTGCCTGGCATTCAGCATAAATGAATAAAACAGGGACTGTCAGCAGTCAGCATACTGAGTCTGATCGGGGTATCTCAGCCCCATTGCACTATAAAACCAGCATTAGGACAAGCTAGTACAACTAGTACAAGCAAGGTCTCACACAGACAGATGCACGCACACACACACATACACACACACGCACACACACATTGCTGTGTGAGTGCAAAACACTGTAGTCTCCAAACATAACCAACACAAACAGATGCCATTTGTGTCCTGAGGAAGTGAGTGAATCATTTTGAAAAGTATTTCAATGATGGCATAGCATGTCGCATGACCATGTTCACTTTGGAGAAGTGGTCAGATGATTGGGCAAACCATACCCCCTTGTGCAATGAGTTTGGTTTGATTTGTTTTGTTGTTTTAGGCCGCACTCAGCAATATTCCAGCTATATGACGGCGGTCTGTAAATAATTGAGTCTGGACCAGACAATCCAGTGATTTACATCATGAACATCGATCCACGCAATTGGGATCGATGACATGCATCAACCAAGTCAGCGAGCCTGACCACCCGATCCCGTTAGTCACCTTTTACGACAAGCATAGTCGCCTTTTACGGCAAGCATGGGTTGCTGAAGACCTATTCTACCCCGGATCTTCACGGGTCCCTTGTGCAATGAGAAGGCCCCAGGAAACACTCACAAGTCTGTCGGTCCACTGTCTGATGTTGGTGACAAACTCCACATCCTTGATGGGGCGCCGGTGAAACACAAACAACACAGATATACAATCTCGCAACTTGTGAACCTGATGCTGAAGGTCAGGTCTATGGCTGGCTGCAGCTGCAAGGAGAATTACAAGAAGCTCAATTAAACCTAACAAGGGACACATAAAACCCCATGTACCCCTCGTGATATTGCTACAACTAATTTATGTTCCTGACATGTGAACTTGTGTGCTGTCACGTGACTTTCATGCAGTTTTTTGCATTGAAGTCGGATATAAGGGATTTATTCTGCCTCTCAGAAATCCATGTGCAGCCTGACTTGCTCATGGCAGGGTATAAGGGATTTATTCGTGTGCTGAGAAATTCAGTACCCTCCAAGGTGGGATACAAGGTATTTTATCTAGATCACATGGTCCAACCAGATCTCATCATTCTGACATGGAGGTATGATAACAAGTTGTTTTTTTGCATAGCTCATAAAATAAACCTGCTATGTTTTCACAGAATGCTATCAAGCTCAAAGAAAACTAAAGCTAATCTTTCCTCTTTTTGGAAAACTTACATTCCAAATGGACACCTAAACAACCCTGACAGTGAGTGCCTTGTGGCACACTTGAAATAAAACACATTTCTATCCCTGAACATTACATGTAAAATCAATGAGTGAGGTATTCTATGTCAAGAGGCCATGCTCTTCTTCATCAACATCCCCAGAAGGCTGTGAACAAAGTGGTCACAATCAATCTCATTAAAATTGGATCTTTTACTGTGATACGATACTTCTCTGCATGAAGATTTAATAATCCTTGTATCCTCTATCCACACCAAAAAGAGAAAATTAAGCTGAATCGTTTTGAGAAAGCTGAGATCTAATTGGCTAAAGAACCCAAGCATCCTTCACTCAGTGCTGATAGAGAGGTCTTCAAATTGGCACCATGCCTGTTGACCAATCCATTTTGAAAAAATAAAATTTTGTTAAAATATTGAAAATTACTTCAAACACTGGATACAACACTTCCAGCATCAGAAGAGTGGAAAGAAAGATGAAATTTAGACAAGGGATAAGAGGTGATCGGAAAATGTTTTGGAAATCGATGACCTGGAGCATCCAGTGCCTGCCATTTTGTGAAATGAACAGCTGTCATGAATCCTACTCACCATGAACTGGAGTGTTTTTGGGGATGTCTCTCAGTCCCGGTGAGTTCATGAACAAATTGTGAAGGTAGGATTCAACCTGAAGCCTGAAATATTACATAAGAATGAGAATAAAAATACTTGTCAGTCTTGCCCTATTTAGAATATAGTAATGAGGATAAAGTAAAGGGCAGATAACACTTTCGACATTTGAGTGCCTGAGCATTTGTTTGTTTTTTAACACCACACTCAGCAATATTCCAGTTCTGTAACGGCAGACCAGACAATCCAGTGATTGATATCATGGGCATTAGTTTACGCAATTGGGATACAATGACATGCATCAACCAAATCAGCGAGCCAGACCACTCGATCCTGTAAGTCACCTCTTACGACAAGCGCAGTCGACATTTACAGCAAGCATGGGTTGCTGAAGCAGGATTCCAACCAATGGTTTGATGCCGTGTTTAGCAATATCCCAGCAATGTCACTGCGGGGAGGGGGAGAGAACCACCAGAAAAGGGCTTCACAAATTGTACCCATGCGAGGAATTGATTCCGGGCCTTCAGAGTGATGAGCTAACGCCCTAAAGCATAACTCATGTCATAACATAAGTTTCTCATTTATTGAAAACAAAAACGTTACCAGGATAAAAAAAAGTGAGTGAGTTTTCTTTTCACTGTGTACACCTCTTTGAACAGTATTTCAGTCATACCACAGCAGCATGATGTGGGATGAAAGCCCACATTGATGCAGGTCTTAGACGTTTACAACTTACATGACACTCTGGTGCTGACAAACCGAGGAACATAATTAAGGCAAACCAGGATTCACCCCAATTATCTTAGGTTTCGGAACAACAAAGGGAGCGAATTCTAGCACCTTTTCTGGCTGGGCCACCAGTGCCATCTACTATGATATGACGCTGTAAATTACTCAAAGGGTAATACTCCTCGGCATGTCTTACAATGCTGTGAGTGATGCGTACTAGGGCTGTTACGATTCACTCGCGTATTCGAGGAATCGAACCGTAACCATTCATGAATTGAATTCGTTATTCATGGCCACTAGAATCGAATATCTATGAATTTGCTATCATGTAACCCATTTACATACCCTGTACCTAAAAATATCCATAAAAACATATTATATGCATAGATTTCTTTCAGTGACAACACTCTTATAACATTTAATTTGACAGTATTGTGGTCACTGGTCATTGTCGCATTTGAGCAGATACTAGTACCTGGATAAGTGCAGTATATAAATGTATAATTTATTAATAATTAACAAACCATGTCAAATAATTTATGTTATTGTTTCACTGAATATAATAAATAATACATAAACTGCTGACTTGTTATTGTAACTGTGAAGTAATATTCGTATTCGTTACCCTATATTCGTGATATGAATCGTATTCGCCTCACAGTGTATTTGTTGCAGCCCTAATGCGTACTGTTTTTTAATGTGAGAAAGGAAGCTTGAGGTGTACTGACTTGGAGAGCTGCGAGGAGTATGCGTGCAGGGTCAGCTCCTCCTGTATGTGGTCTCTGATGGTCTGGAGAGTCACCTGCATGCTGTGTAAGGAGTCCTCGTTCAGTTTGCAGGTCTCATACAGATGGGTCGTGGACACCTTGGATCCATCGCCGCACACGGACTACAAAAAAGAGTTAGGAACATATGTTTCAGTCAGTCTAACATATGTTTCAGTCAGTCTTACATATGTTTCAGTCAGTCTTACATATGTTTCAGTCAGTCTTACATATGTTTTAGTCAGTCTTACATATGTTTCAGTCAGTCTTACATATGTTTCAGTTTCAGTCAGTCTTACATATGTTTCAGTCAGTCTTACATACGTTTCAGTCAGTCTTACATGTTTCAGTCAGTCTTACATATGTTTCAGTCAGTCTTACATATGTTTCAGTCAGTCTTACCATGCTTTCAGACCCTAGAACATACTTCAGTCGAGTCTCGTTAATCCAACCATCGTTAATCGGATAATTGGTTTTATCTGACACTAATGATGGGAACCGTTTAAATCAGTGTTCTTTAGACTAGTTAATCCGACATTCTCGCACTCCGACTCTGACACACCTAATTTGCAATGAATTACTGAAATCACTAATTAATCAGTCTCGGCAATCAGTGATCAGCGTACTCTGTGGTCATCTGCCAGTGAGTACACAGACCTGTGTTTTGATGCAAGACGAGTCAGCTGGTAGCTGCATATTACAAAGCTGCAGCGATAAACTTGCTTAACAATAAACAATTAATGCTTTAAATAAAGAAAACAGGATTAATCACATGCTTAGATTACCTCCATCTCATTTAAATCAGATACAAGTTCTCGCTACCGCTGAGGACATCCCCTTTGCGAACTTTGAGCGAACAATGAAATGACTAACAGGAAGTCAACATTAGCCATCTGATCTCTGAGCTCAATTGCTAATGCTGTTAAATACAGTGCAACTTAATCCTGTGTCTCAAACTACCCTAAGTACTTTCGATTTGGGAAAACTTACGCCAATTCAAGACAACATTAAACAAGAAAGTCCCATGCCTGTAGTTACCTTACCCAATGTCACATGTCATCAATGGCACTGATTCCTGATTCAGAATCTCCAGGAGAAAAAAAGAAAGAAAAAAAAACAAACGAAAAAGCATATTATTGACTCTTATCAAATGTATATTAAATAATATTGATTCCATAATCTTCTTTGCAGCAAATACCCAGTATGTATGTAGATGTTGGCCAATGGGTGGAGGGGTTTAGCAAAATTCTCCTTGTGGATTTTTTTTAATATAAAAAACTATTTGGTGGGAAGAAGCGGGGATTCGGGAACACAACCAACCATCTTCTTGATGGGAAGAAGAGAGGGTTCTGGAACCCTAAACCCCACCCCGCCACCCCAACAACACCCTCTCCTTGGTGGGAAAAAGTGAGGGTTCAGGAACCAAACCAACCATAAACCCCACCCTACCACCCCAACCCCTTCTTGGTGGGAAGAAGCGAGGGTTCAGGAACCCAACCAACCATAAACCCCACCCCACCCCACCACCCCAACCCCTTCTTGGTGGGAAGAAGCGAGGGTTCAGGAACCCGACCAACTATAAACCCCACCCCACCACCCCAACCCCTTCTTGGTGGGAAGAAGCAAGGGTTCAGCAACCCAACCATCCTTTAACCCCACCCCACCTTCCCAACCCCACCCAGTCCTTCTAGGTAAGAAGAAGCAATGGTTCAGGAACCCAACCAACCCTAAACCCCACCCCACCACCTCAACCCCTTCTTGGTGGGAAGCAGTGAGGGTTCAGGAACCCGACCAACTATAAACCCCACCCCACCCCCTTCTTGGTGGGAAGAAGCGAGGGTTCAGGAACCCGACAACTATAAACCCCACCCCACCACCCCAACCCCTTCTTGGTGGGAAGAAGCAAGGGTTCAGCAACCAAACCAACCATAAACCCCACCCCACCACCCCAACCCCTTCTTGGTGGGAAGAAGCGAGGGTTCAGGAACCCAACCAACCATAAACCCCACCCCACCACCCCAACCCCTTCTTGGTGGGAAGAAGCGAGGGTTCAGGAACCCGACAACTATAAACCTCACCCAACCACCCAGACCCCTTCTTGGTGGGAAGAAGCGAGGGTTCAGGAACCCGACAACTATAAACCTCACCCCACCACCCGGACCCCTTCTTGGTGGGAAGAAGCGAGGGTTCAGGAACCCGACAACTATAAACCCCACCCCACCACTTCTTGGTGGGAAGAAGCGAGGGTTCAGGAACCCGACAACTATAAACCCCACCCCACCACTTCTTGGTGGGAAGAAGCGAGGGTTCAGGAACCCGACCAACTATAAACCCCACCCCACAACCCCACCACCCCAACCCCTTCTTGGTGGGAAGAAGCAAGGGTTCAGCAACCCAACCAACCCTAAAAGCCACCCCACCAGCCCACCACCCCATCCACACCCAAATGTGCCACCTACTCTCTGTGACCGGCAGGGCTTAACTTCACCTGACTTGCCACCTCGGTGTACCCAGTTTATACCTGAGCACTGATGGACTTGGTGGTGGTGATCCACATCTCCTCCTGCAGCTTCACGTAGTTCGACTGCAGCCCCTTCACATCCTCCTCCGCACTGATCAGGTTCTTCCTGGACCGGAAGTAGCTGAGCAGGATCTCGAAAAATTCATGGCCGTCTTTCTTTGCTTCTTTCTATAGAAAGACATCACACCACACAATATCAGACAGCTCCAGGGCCCACTTGCACAGAACAATCTTAGTTACAATCGATCTTAGGCGGCTACAATCAACTTTACAATCACCCTACAATTGTCCTATTCCACTTGCACAAACCGATCTTAACGCGATTGTAAGACGGCTTGGATTTAAGATCGCGATCTTAACTAAGATTGAAATCTTCAATGGTGGAGGTACAAATATCTTAAACTAGACTCCTGTCTATGGTTGTCTGCAAACGCGCAAATCTTGCTGCGCATACAACGTGTAGAACCGGTTACGACATACAACACGTACCTCCCTCCACGCACCTTGCACAGTTGAAAGGTCTCAACTATTTGAAGGAAACTATAATTAGAATGTTGGCATATAGATTTAGTGACATTCTTATTATGAAAGTAAAAAAAGAAAATAATAATAGATCTCTATGTCCAAATAACATAACAGGTAAATGTATGATCGTCATCTATTTGGGGGAGCTTTCCGTAAAATCCTAAATACATGTATATCCTTCATGTTTTAGTTTTGCCGCTATTACAAAGGATGTTATGACAACCTTTTCAAAACACAGTAAGACGGGAGATTTTAAGAATGCATGTACGGGAAATAAGAATAATGTTTCAAGAAAGAAGTTGTTTAATATATATTCATTTGGTATTAATTATATTTTTTAAAAAGTGTGAATTTTACTTTTGCTATTTATGGGATATTTTACACAAATTTCAAATGTCTCATCATGTGTATTTGCTTGTTTGATGAATATTTCTATTAGTTTCTTATAAATTCAGATATTACAACCGCTCGTGACTGTCCCACTCGATTTGGATATAAACGTATGATTTTGCACTTCAACTTTTGTTTTCTTGTAGATTATCTAATGATAAACTAAAGACAAAATAACTGACACGAATGTGACCCAAAAGATATACAAGGGGAGCTAGGCGGTTCTACAACATTAATACACTAACTGGGCAAGGAAGATTCTACGATACTTATACAAAGGGAAACCACTCCCATCTAGAATATAAACTATGATTAGCTGCCCTTGATTTATCTTAAAGGTCACGGACGTTACAAATCCCTTGCAGACGACTTAGGTTTTATCCTTCCCTTGATAAGGTATGTTGTTTTAGACTTCTTTCAGCATTGACACGGGTGGGAATAGTACTTTTAACTATCGACTCGATAGTTATGTGGTTCACTATCGCAATTAACGATATTTTTTACGTTAAATCTGTGGTGCGGTCTTCGTGTTGTTGAAGTGTCGATTCGAATCATAAAATCAAACAAAATAAATAGGCAGTGTTTGATCGTAAAGCAGATTATTAATGTGAAACTGGCCCTGTCTTGCACGCCATTTTGTCAGGGACTACAACGATCTTAGCTACTTAAGATTGGTCTGGACCAATTGTAAGTTTCGATTGTAGCTTACAATGATCTTAACCTACAATCGCTTTGTGCAAGTGGATGACAATTGTAGCGTAAGCCTAAGATCGCGATCTTAAGGATTTACAATAATTGTAGCGCTAAGATCGCTTTGTGCAAGTGGACCCAGGTCTATAAGCAGCAGTCAAATAACACATGGGCACACTAATCATGTGATAACAACCACTGGAGTCAGTAGAATCAACATTGTCTGAAAAGAGGTATCTATGTTAAACTGCAGCATCTGTGCTAGCACTATAAAACCGGCTAGCACTATAAAACCGGCTAGCACTATAAAACCGGCTAGCACTATAAAACCGGCTAGCACTATAAAACCGGCTAGCACTATAAAACCGGCTAGCACTATAAAACCGGCTAGCACTATAAAACCGGCAATGTCGAGACTAGTACAAGCAGTCACACACATGCATATCGCCATATACATGTAATAATCTTTAAGGTAATTTGCATTACCGTATTTTCTTGAGTATAGTGCACACACCCCTCTAGCGGGTTCAATATTTGGGAAAAAAAGAAATTTGAATATTAGGCGCAGAAAAAAATTACACCGTACCCCTTCAGCGAAGTCCGGTAAACGAACGGGTGATGAGAAACTTTGTCAGTACAAATTCGAAATTTGAATTAAAAAATCACCAGACATGTTGATTTACCGTTTAAATTGTAATTTTTTTTCAGCTAGGCATTGTTTTATATCCAGGGATTAAGATTACCTTGTGTATTTTCTCGAAAACTAAGCCGGACACAGCAATCAGCTGTAAACAGGTTTTCTTGAATCTACCGGTGATTCGGTCAAGACACACCCAATGATATAACTTTACAGGATTTTTATGCAAGGATCGGCAAAAGTTGTATCTGAAACTATTTTTTTATCAGGAATAATATATTCCAATATCTTGTTAATTTAGATGCAGCTTTTACTAAACATTTTAAAAATAATAATAACCCTAAGCAAGCAGCTGGTCGCTATTGCGGGGTATTATTTTTTACATGGATCCAGTCTGACCAGTCACCGTCAAGGCTCCCGTGTGCGTGATCGCGTGATCGGGAGAATTACATGTTGACATAGAATCGTCCAACAAAAACAAATATGACTTTTAACAAATCAAAGTATGGCATTTATGATATATGTATCCATTCTCTGTCAACTAAAGTTCATTTCAAGGTGTCAATAGCGGTAATCTGACCGTGGTTGCTGTTAATAACGGTGAGTTGTGCGATCTTCCGATCGCTTCACACACGATTTCGCCGAAATTAATTGAAACAATATTAAAAGGAATTTTGAATAAAATTAATGAAATAAGTTACAAACATAAGTCTAGATATACAAAGAACACTTTTTATAGCCAGACAGTGTAATTACATGAATAATTTGCAAACTTCAGTATGGATTTGTTGACATGGTATTTCCGGTGTTACGTGCTCACGGTAATGTCTTTCCATGGGGGTAAAAACATCAAAACTCATTAATTTGTGTATAATGCGCACCCCCTTCTACACAGCTGTGTTTTTGGGAAAAAAGTGCGCACTATACGCAAGAAAATATGGTAGACCCGATTTCACCTCACTTTACTATTGAACATGTTGGATTGTTTTAGAACACAAAATAAACATCCCACCTGAAGCATTCCATATCTGTTCTGAGACATCTTATCATTCACAAAGCGATGTTAATGCTAAGATGATCTTAACTCTGATACTGCAACAACAACTTAGGACATTTGTAATGCTACAATTAATTTCTGCAACAGAGTCTGATTCCCATGCTTTACCTACAAGAAAACATGCTTTACCTACAAGAAAACATGCTTTACCTACAAGTAAACATGCTCTACTTACACGAAAAACATGCTTTACCTCCAAGAAAAAGAAACATTAGCACAATCCTACCATGCCTACACAACTGTTTCAAAAGTCATTCACCTGAAACCAGTTCTTTTCAACATTTTAAGATCTGACCATTCTTATTTACTCACCACAACAAAACTTTCAATGAACTGTGGGTTTTTGGCAAGTTGGGGGTTATAATACAACGCCTGGATCTGCTCAATGGTCATGGGCTTGAACACCTGGGCCGTTTCACCGTACACCTTCCTGTGAACAACCCGTTCTCTTACTTCAGGTTTCGGCAGTGGCCCTGCATCAGCACAAGGTTCAGTTCTCACATCAGCCTCCGCCTTTGCGGACTCCTTCTCAAGCTCTGGTATGGGGAAGGATTCAATGGTTTCTAACACATCTATCAAATTTCTTTGGGGCTGTTTTTCTGTTAACTTCACAGAAACTGGCTCTGGTTTCTTTGCTTTGGGGACAAATTCATAGGAGTCCTCAGCACTGTGTTCTGATTGAGATTCTTGACGAGACATCCCTGTGGCACCTTCTGCCCGCACATCGGTCAAACTGTCACCTGTGACATCCTGAGCCTCGTGAACTTCATCGGTGAACTTCGATGAAGGCTCCGCCAAAGGATGTTCTTCATGTTGCATGGCTTTGGGTGCTACTATTTCAGCAGTATGTTCTTTAGCCTCTGAGTTCGGTACATCATCACAAATTTTACTTAGGTCACCAACATCTACATTTTCGTCTTCAGCAGTGTCTTGTTTGACATCAACATCGCCACCTTCATTAGATGATGCTACAGTTTCAGCTGAGACAGGGGTTTCGTCCTGCTGGGAAACTGAATAGAATAGGTCGGTATCTTCCTCCACACTTTCCTGTACGTCAACACAGGGAGGAACACTTGCACTGTCAAGTGCAGGAACAGGCACAGCTACATCTGAAGGCAAAGATGGATACATGTGAGCAGCTTCTGATTGTAGTTCAGAATTACTTTCTTCAACTTCATCAGAATTCAATAAGTTTGAAGCAGCATCTAATTCTTTCACAGGTTCAGCCCTGGACACAGATTCTGTCTGCACATCAACAAGACCGTCAATGGCTGGTTCAGAAACACCTTGAACACCATCTGAACTACCCACTGCAGGCTCCTCCGACACGGCTTCTGGCCCCATGGGTATGTGTTGGCCAGTATCAATGACAACAGCACCAATCCCGGAGACCTGCACCTTCTCATCCTCTTCTTCATCTTTACACACATCTGATTCTGTCCGTGCTGGTTCTAATCCAGGATCAACAGGCATATCTGATGTCTTGGCATCAGGCAGATCTCTAACATCAGTATCTGAAGCCAAGTCTGCTTCTTGAGCTGGATGGCCATCTCCTGATGGAGCTTGTTCCTCAGTGTCTGCGCTGGAGAGATCCTGAAGCACAGATTTTAATGAATCTGAAGCTTCTTTTTCACTCTCCTCTAGGACTTTGGGAAATGGAGAATCTGTGCCCTCGGAGATAGTATTCAAAGATTCTTTTTTCTTTTTCGTTCTGTTATCTTTTCCATCTTTCTTACTCTGTGGATGGAATAAATTATTATGATTAGAAATTCTAAAAACAAAAACAGCATTAACAGTGGTCAATTTAACTGCTGTCCCATTGGCCTGTGGCCAGTACAAATTATGAAAGGCTTACTGAAACATAAAGTAGATGGCCGTCTGGCTGGTCAAAATTTCACCCCTTCTCTGTGTATCTTTCATTTTTGTAATTGGATACGGCTCGTGAATCGTGAAATTTTGATGAGAAAAAAATTAGCAAGAATGAGGTCGTGTGAATGGTTGACTCAGAATGATACAAGGGATAGCCATTTTGTAATGTTCTGTACAACAACAACATCTTTATTTCTCAAAAATCACCACGAAATGAGACAAATGGAAGCCAAGATTTAATCTTATAGAGCAGCAAATGACATTTTAGGGGTGAGGAGCCCCCTGGGTAACTCAGTCGTTGCCTCCAACATGTAGTTTGGGGCCAGTAAATTTGGAGAAGTGCCAGTAACTTTTGAAAGGAGCAAACCCTGTTGGCTACATACAAATTTGTTGTTAAATCTACCCCTGACTTACACAAAATACACAAGACCTGATTGTATCACAGTTTTCATAACTATTTCAATGCTACTCCAATATTACAAATGTCAATAACAAGAGAGAATTCTTATTATTATCTCTGTCATCTAATGAGCTTCTCCAAATTAGCTGTTAGTCACTTGATTAGTATGATTAGTGCTAATTGGATCAGTTATCCACTCTGTGCAATCATTAAAACCACACAGTAACTATCAGTTGAGGTTGGGAAGCTAGCATGGTGATCATGCCTTGCTGCACATGAAAAGAATATACAATAATGTGACATGGAATTCTTCACATCTTACTTTAATGTTATACAAGCATGATAAGGATCAGTAAAACAGATCATCTTTATCCAAACTATTACCTTGTCTGTTAAGCATATGCCAAGGACTAATAATGAAAAAAGATGTGTAAAGACTTAATAATTTACTTTCTGACAATTTCATCCCATTTGTAAAAATTCAGGATACCAATACGGCCTCAAAGTTTAAATTTTTACCAAGTAGCCATATGGCTACAAGTATTTTTTTCCAGGTTGCCAGTGGTAAAATCAAGAAGTCAAGCCAGTATTGTAGGCAGCCAAAAGCATTTGAAATTATCTTTATCAAATAACTATTATAATATAATGTACAAGTTACTAATTACATTATTTTTTATGTATTTTGGTTCATTGTTGACTTAAGAAGGTAATATTTGCGAGTACAATTACTAGCAGACATGTTTTCCAATATCAGCTGTTATTTATTTTTGTGTCTACAGATGTGTAGCAATAGAATTTAGTCGCCACAAGATATTTTTTTGGGAATCATTTGGCTACCTCTGAATTTTAGACAGTAGACAAACTGAAATTTAGGTCGCATTGGCAACTGTTTTAGTCGCAACTTTGAGGCCTGCAATACAGGCACTATTATCATGATTAGAAACATACTTATCTGCCCTTGATATAGATGAGCACAGTGATCGATTTTTAGGCCAATATAGCTTTTAAGGCATTAAGTATCGTCATTCTTTGAATAGCACTTACTTCAAGCATTGTTCCATCTTCCCGAAGCAAGTAAGATAACTGACCATAAAAGTCCAGTTTTCACCCTTGCCGATGGTATATGGTATATATTCTGTCTGACTAATGAGTATTCGTAAACAACATGGCAAGTGCCATGCAGATTTTTGTCGATTGCAGGATTTGCAAAGCATGTGTTCCATGAACTGGGCATTGACATATTTTCCAAAACTTTTCATGTTTTTAATCAAGGTGTTCAAATTAAAGTGTTGTCTACAATCCACACGCGGAAGACCCGGGTTCGAATCCCGACATGGGTACAATGTGTGAGGCCCATTTCTGGTGTCCCCCGCCGTGATATTGCTTGAATATTGCTAAAAGCGGCGTAAAACCATACTCACTAACTCACTCTTTGAGACACATTACCTACAGCAGAGATCACCCTCACAAGATGATGTGGTACTGTTTTCTAAAGGTGCTCCAAATGGTTAAAATCACTTTTGGCTAGACCTATATAGGCATATATTTTGCCCCCACTAAACAATAACCCTGCTTAATAGTAGGTTCTTTAGTACAGTCAGCAAGTAGACAACCATGATAGGTGAAATGGGGTTTAACGTCGCATCCTAGATTATTGCACTTACATAGCGACGTGCATGCACGTGTATGTGTGTGTGTGTGGCTGCTTGTACTAGTCTGGACTGAGGCCGATTTATAGTGCTAGCTCACTGAGATACCATGCCGCAGTTTAACATGAATACCCCACTCAGACACAGTATACTGACTCCGAGCCGACCAGTCCTTGTTTTAGCTCCTTAATGCCAAGCGCCAGACAGGGTAACAACAAGTACCATCTTTTAACGTCTTTTGGTATGGTGCGGCTGGGGATCGAACCCCGGACCTTCCGCTCTCCGGGCGGACGCTCTACCACTAGACCACGGAGGCGGTTACACAGTCAGCAAGTATACAACCATGATAGTGTTCCACAATGTGATGGTACAGACTTTTGTTGCATTTGTTAAATATTTGGTAGAGAGATGTGACAACAAGTGATTTGATATAATGATTGGCCTAATTACTTGTATGTACTATACAAAGGAAAAATAAGAAAGTGAAAGTGCGCAAATCGACTCGGAAAGATTCTTTGTCATTTATCTGATCTGTCACTTGCAAATAACAAAACGTATCACCGTAGCACTAGGTGTGGTGACATTGACGAGAGCGACAGCGGATACTGCTTCAAAAGGGCATATCAAATAATGTACACATTGTTTCTAGCATATTTTCAGTTAAGAACAATACAAAAGCCACCTTGCTTTTCCTGGGCTTGTCTCTCACAGCTTCAGCCATCTTCGACTTTGTTTTGATCATATGACCAGTGGTACCGACAAAAATTGGAATGACGGACGAGAATCTAAAACGAAATATGAAGTACAAACAACATGCCTGATACTGTGATATTTACTTTTTCCCTATTTATACAAGACAACTTTTCACTGATTCAAATATTTATACATCAAACTCGGATACAATACCAAAGTATAGCTTTTTATTTATTTAATTTTGCACAAGAAAACCATACAGGTGAGTAATTAAGCATATTCTAAATATTGCTAAGCGTGGCATTAAATAACAAATAAACAAACAAACAAACAAACATATTCTAAAATTCCGACGTGCAAGTAGTTTATTGTCATTTTACTGAGAAAATGTGGGTTTTCTTATTTCAGGTTGAGACATAAGTTCAGGCCGGACTGACGCCACATAAAATAGTCTGTGACGCCATGAACAATCATGAAGAATGGATGACGTCAATTTCAATGTTTTGGGACAATACGTTCAATATTGACGTCGCGCTGCTACTAAAAAAGAAGCCCAACGCAAGTTTACAAGGAAATTGGGATTTTTTAGACTCAATTTGGATTTTTTTCATTTTGACGATATATGTATTTTTAAATAAGATAACTTTATTTCTGGGACCAAATGTCAGTCAATCCGTTCCCCTGAGAGAGGAGAGAGAGAGGTGAAATGGGGTTTACGTCGCGTCCAAGTTTATGGCACTTATACGGTGTGTGTGTGTGTGTGTGTGTGTGTGTGTGTGTGTGTGTGTGTGTGTGTGTGTGTGTGTGTGTGTGTGTGTGTGTTAGTGTGTGTGTGTGTGTGTGTGTGTTAGTGTGTGTGTGTTAGTGTGTGTGTGTTAGTGTGTGTGTGTGTGTGTGTGGCTGCTTGTACTAGTCCGGGCTGACGCCGATTTATAGTGCTAGCTCACTGAGATACCATGCCGCAGTTTAATATGAATACCCCACTCAGACACAGTATACTGACTCCAAGCCGACCAGTCCTTGTTTTAGCCCCTTAATGCCGAGCGCCAGACAGGGTAACAATTTACAAGTAAACGTGATGTCACATGACACTGAATGAAAATGAAATACTGACTCCAATTAGCAAAACAGTTACTGCTACCAGAGACCATAACCAATTTTAACAAGATCGTAAAGAGTACAGAGTCGTTGTAATTTAGACTGCAGATCTATATCCTTGGTATGCGGGCAGTTTGGTCAGGGGGTTGTCGCCTAAACATAGTCACATTCAGTACCGTATTCGACGTAATAAGCGCCCAGCTCTAATAAGCGCCCACGGTGACATTTGCTAAGATATTGGCAAGTGAACAATCCCAATTAGCACCCTTTCCGGTTGATCAATGTACACAAGACTTATTTATTCGCGTATAATAAGCACTCACGTGTTATATGCACCCTTAATTATGGGTAATTGAATTATGGAAATATATATCTGTCGTACATAAACATTTCAGCATAATTAACGATATTTATCTTTCAACTCAGTTTTTTTCACCAAAATAATATTCTAGTAAAAGCCCCCTATTTCTAATTTTGAGAGCGCCCTGGGCGCTTATTACGTCGATTACGGTATTCTACATATGTTTGCATTGGTTATATATGTATATACATACCACGTGATTTTCTGTTTTTATATTGATTAATTGTGTCTTATTGCAAATGTATATAGGTAAGTGCGACTTGGCCAAGATGTTAGGTTTTATTAGTCGTTTTCTCAGTACACCCCGGAAGTCCAACTTTTACATAGCACCACTGGCAACATGGCTGCAAACCTCGTGGATCTGTTTGTTGGCATCGGCTTGAGTGAACAAAAAGCGAAAGAAACGCTAAAAAATGAACAGCTGACACAGAACTTGAAACATACCATTGACCAGGTACAAACGTGGCATTGTTGTGAATGTCTGATATTTTGTGGCCCGAATTATACCTCCACCTGTCACTTTCGTTTTACCTGGATGATGAAATCTTTGACACTTGTTTGTCAACATATTTTCAACAGAGATACGTCACCATTAAAAAAAAGCAAAAGCTCTTGAAGACAAAATATAGACTAGGTCTATGGTTATAATGCGTTCAAAGTTGCTATTTTCAGAGATCATGTGCCGGAATATTGTCTCTGCTATTTTCAACTACAGATTTTTAATAGTTTTAGCATGTTTAGATAGCAGATGCAGTTTTATGTTGTTTTATGCACCATCAAGCACATGTTTAGTTCAATCACATCTGTGGCTGAAGACTGTGATTTAAAAGAGCCAGCTTGTTTAAACCTGAGTGTATATGTGACAGAAATGAGCATTGTCTCTTGGATAGCGTATACAAATGCAATTAAAATATTTATCTGAAGAATGACACTTGGAAATATTTATTGATTATTATTTTTCATATTCCTAAACCTTTGTAAAAAAATTTAATACAAATTTCAATTACCAGGATATATATACCTACATTGAAAAGAGCCTCTGTCTATAAGGATCATTTTATCATTTCCCTTAAAACTATGAAACATCAAAATGGAGATTTCATATAAAGTTCAAAACATTTAATTCAAACATCTCTTTGAACACACTCCTGCAGGGAATAATTTTCATATGAACATGATGAATACCTACATTCCTCAAATAAACACTGGGCTTAACATATCTTAGTTGAATTGGTTTGTTATTTAACGCCGCACTCAGCAATATTCAAGCTATATGATGGCGGTCTGTATAAATAATCGAGTCTGAACCAGACAATCCAGTGATTGATATCATGAGCATCGATCCACGCAATTTGGATCGATGACATTCATCTACCAAGTCAGCCAGCCTGACCACCCGATCCCGTTAGTCCCTTTTATGACAAGCATGGGTTGCTGAAGACCTATTCTACTAAGGTTATTGAATAGATAACATCCAAGTGCTTATTCAAGGATTTACAGTTTTCATATAAGCGGTCTTTCCAAAGCTTGCATCATGCAAGTTGCTATTTGGGTTATCAGTTAGCACACCAATAGATGTCATGGTCATGATGGACCAGTGGTCATGCTAGATTATCCAACATAACCAAGCATGATGAAACATTTATAATGTGTATAAATACTGGAGTAGAGAACTAGCAAATTTCAGTTGTCACCAGCCTGAAAGGAACCTGAAAGATATTTTCTGGATTAGAAATTTTTGTAATCTTACTATTTCACTAATATGTCAAGAGGACAGAGGAATACTTTGCTGACCAATCAGCTCATTGAAGAGGTTGTACTATGACCACTGACTTTTTTGGATATTTTGTTGTGTGAATTAATTTTAAGTAGTTGTTTATTTTATCTGATAGTTACTGTGTATTATCATGTATTTGTTGTGTGATTTTTTGTTTTGTTTGTTGTTTAACGCAGCACTCAGCTATATTCGAAGATGGGATCTGGTGTTCAGGGTCGCTGTTTGGTTGATGCACGTCATTGTATCCCAGTTTCATAGATCAATGTGCATGATGTTAATCACTGGATTGTCTGGTCAAGACTCAATTATTTACAGACTGCCATCACATACGTATAGCTAGAATGTTGCTGAGTGTGACGTTAAAAAAAATAAAAATAACTTGATTATTTTTTTGATATAATTTTTCATTTCGTTGTGTCATCTTAGTGGAACGGTCAATTTGACCTGAAAAGCTGTAATGTCGCCAATGTTTATGAGTGTCATGGATGTTGCAGGCTGAGAAGTACGCCCCTGGCCAGGTAGCCAACAAGGACGTAGGCAAGCTGTTGTACAGCCTTGCCACTAAGCTGAAGGCACAGATCAAGACCCATCAGTCCATGCTGGTCGAATATGTGGCAAAGAAAAAGATTGCATCTGAGGCACAGCTAACTGGTGAGATTGGGCTTCTTAAGGCCACGTTGTTTTCACCTCAGTTGTATCAAGATCCATGTGACCTAACATTTGGGCGGTCGGGTAGCCTAGTGGTTAAAACATTCGCTCGTCATGCCGAAGACCCGGGTTTGATTCCCGACATGGTTACAATGTGTGAAGCCCATTTCTGGTGACCCCCGCCGTGATATTGCTTGAATATTGCTAAAAGTGGCGTAAAACCATACTCACTCACTCACTCACTCACTCACCTAACATTTGGTGGTTTGAAGAGGAAAACTACATTCAGTGATCACTGTTTTTTTGTCCTTATTATCTTTCTCTTGACTTTCATGCTGCCTTAAGAGGTCACGGGTGGCCCAGTCATCTAAGGCGCCACGATTCGCTGTGCAGAGTTGCCTCCCTTGGGCACGCCAGAAACCTATGATTGTGGGTTCGAATCCCGGTTCGCCCCGATTATGTTTCTTTTGTCAGCAGCATACCCGTGCTTGTGGGTTTCACCGAAGTGGTAAACGTCTGAGACCTGCATCACTTCGGATTTTCCTCCCACATTAAGCTGACACGCCATGATATACCGGTAACTGGTATAAAGAGTGACATTAAACCCAACTCACTCACTCACTCATGCTGACTTATTGACCCTCCTGTAACCATGGTAACATGTCTAATCTTAAAGAAAACTGAAGAAAAAGGGAAAATGTCTAATTCGATAACAGTGGCTGCTGTAGTAACTGCTTTTAACAAATTTAACATTAGGGCTATGACATGGACCACTAGACTTTTTAAGTGTGGAACACTGCATATTTTGATGAATAACATAAAAGGCTCCTCACTTTCAGTTATCTATTCAAGAACCTTAGTAGAATAGGTCTTCAGCAACCCATGCTTGCCATTAAAGGTGACTATGCTTGTTGTAAAAGGCGACTAACAGGATCGGGTGGCCAGACTCGCTGACTTTGTTGATGCATGTCATCGATCCCAATTGCGTGGATCGATGCTCATGATTTCAATCACTGGATTGTCTGGTCGAGACTCGATTATTTACAGACCGCCGTCATATAGCTGGAATATTGCTGAGTGCGGCATTAAACAACAAACCAACCAACCAATCACTTTCAGTGCATTTTCTTTATGTTTCAGCTGCACTGGAGTATTTGCTGTCCAACCCAATCGAACCAGTGGACAAGGGTCAGTTTGAACAGGCGTGTGGGGTGGGTGTGCTCATCACACCCGAAGAGATTGAGACAGCGGTCAGTCTATTTTTTACATGTTTGTTTGTTTCTTTCTTGTTTAACCCTGCACTCAGCAATATTCAAGTTATATGATAGTGGCCTGTAAAAACTATGGACCAGACAATCCAGTGATTGACATTATGAGCATCTATCTATGCCTGGGGTACAATGACATGCATAATCAACCAAGTCACCGAACCTGTGTGAAAGTTTACCTTCTTCCATTTCATTGAGATTGAAAATTCCCATTTTAATTTCTGAATGCCCAAATTAATTTTGTTAATCGAACTGTGCATGGAATGTGTTCATCATTTTCCATGTGTTTGTCACATTTGTGGTTGCATATGATAAACTCTGTCACAAGGTATTTCAGGCACCAGAAACTTATTTCAACAATTTGTAATGCTGTCAATGAAGACATTAGCCATGTCTTTTGGGAATGTAATGAAACTAAACAATTTTGGAATGATCTTGAACTTTGGCTTAATAATTTACAAAATATCTTATTTGGTTTGGTTCTAAGTACTCTAATACTTTAATCAATCATATAGTTTTATTGGGAAAAAGGCATATTCATGTAAGTGGAATTAAAGGAACCAAACCGAAATTAGGTATACTTTTAAAACTATTTAAAAACATACTCAATCGATAAATTTATTGCTACCAAAAAGGATGACAAAAATAACTTTAACAAAAAATGGTCACCTTTATTCTCAGTATTTGATTCTTAGCTCTCTGTTGATACATGCCATGTCTGAGTCTGTGTGTAGCAACCGTTTTGGGTTTGAAAAAGGACAATGTTTGTTTCCAACCCTTTAATTTTTTAATGAGTGTATCGGTCCAGACTCGATTATTCACAGACTGACGTCACATAGCTGGAATATTGCTGAGTGTGACGTTAAACAACAAACCAAACAACCAAAACCAAACAACCATCAACTCGAAGAAGAAGTTCTTATATCTTACCCTTACTTAGTACTCTAACTCGTGAATGCCTTTCAAAGAAGTTATTGTTACAGAATTTATTTTTTGATTGTGCAAGTGCTTCAGATGACCAGGTTGACCCATGAACAACGTGTGATACTACATCACCAGACCTTACATTTGTTTTTCATCTTATATCATTGTTTCTCTAAGTGTTCTGTCTTTGACTTCAGGTGGAGAAGGTTATTGGCAAATACAAGAATGACCTGGTAGAAAAACGGTACCGATTCAACACTGGGCTTATATCATTGTCCTCTAAGTGTTCTGTCTTTGACTTCAGGTGGAGAAGGTTATTGGCAAATACAAGAATGACCTGGTAGAAAAACGGTACAGATTCAACACTGGGCTTCTTCTGAGTAAGATTGTTTGCAGAACTCATTGCTGCGATAATTTCCTGAAACTGTTTCATAAGTAAAGACAGACATAGATTAGGTCTTCTTTCCAAAGCTGGAGTAAATTTTGGTGAAGGTCGTGAGAGAATCTTTCTGAATTCCACATCAGCACTATTTTGAAGCTACTCGTGGTGAGAAATCTCCATCTTTACTATGATTGCCTATAATATAGTTCTATAATCAATATACCGTATTTGACGTAATAAGCGCCCACGGCGATATTTGCTGATATATTGGCTAGTGAACAATCCCAATAAGCACTCCTTCCAATTGATCAATGTAAACAAGACTTATTTATTCGCGTATAATACGCATTCGTGTGTTATATGCATTCTTCATTATGGGCAATTAAATTCTGGGAAAATGTATCTGTCGCATATAAACATTTCAGTGTGTCAGCATAAACCACAAAATTTATCTTTCAACTCTCTTTTTTCCACCAAAATAATATTCTAATAAGATCCCCCTATTTCTAATTTTGAGAGCGCCTTGGGCGCTTATTACGTCGAATACGGTAAATACTTGTATAGCATCAATGTTAACTCCTCTCATGTTATAGCATCCTTGAAGCTCAACAGACCGCTGCTATCAGTTAAAATCATTTAATCACTTTATGTGAGTGATTTCAGTATTGCGTAAGGGAATATGGAATCGAAAACCATGCACTGTAATCTTATGATTATCTTTTAAGTCTTTAGCACAGTTGTTTTTTGGTTCAGGCGAGGCTAGGAACAGCTTGAAATGGGCTGATGGAAAGGCTATCAAGAATGAAGTGGACATGCAGGTTAGTCATCAAGTCGGGTGGTTCTCAGATATTGCTTTCACTTGATATTATGCTAAAATTCAAATCTGATTCACCTGCTTATGTGTATCTGACAGCAGCTTGTAGAATGTCCGGCACTAAGGAACAGGAATTTTTCTTGGATTCCCAACTTAGTTGCCCTCGGCAGGCAAATTTGAAAAAAATAGCTGTTTTGTTTGAAATTAGGATTTTTTTATTTTTCTTACATTCAGAGGCCCCTTAACATAGTTTTTAAATTTTGCGTTCTGTGAGGGATTGTAAAAATAAGCACATGCTTTCTTCATCTTTATTGGTCCTGGTATCAGTGAAATGTCGGTCACCTCTACGAAGTCGTAACATGAGTTAACTATATTAACACGAATTGAGAGATTTTTTAATGCTAAATTTAACTTCTATTTTCGGCAGACTTTGGGCTGAATATCAGCTTCTGATCATGTCTAGATAAATCCCAGCTGTCCTGTGTGTTAAGTTTTTGTTTGTACGACCAACATGGACATGCTTTTTTCAGTGACTTGCCTCCTCTAATTAAGGGAGATAATTCATCTTGCTTGCGTGAATGTTGGATGAAGGTGTTGATGACATCCATCTGTACCATCAACTGGTGACTGTGCTGTATGTTAAGTCTTATGACCTCAATGACATGTTAACAGCCAAACTGTCACAGAAATTCTGTTTAAGTAACTTTTCGAATTGAGAAGAAGGTTGTTGAATAAACATAAACAGTAACTATCCCTTTTACTGCAGATTTTAGACCTCCTGGGCCCAAAGACTGATGCTGACCTAGAGAAGCCCCAGAAACAAAAGGTACAGTTGTCATCATCTAAATGGAGGATTCCTAAATTGACCTTTTTGAACAATAATAATTTGAGGATATTGTAAATACTTTGGAAATTGGGACATGCCATGTTCTTAAAGATTTAGCAATCATTTTAGTATTATTGAATGATTGTCCAGTCATCTAAAGAAGCACAACAAAGTTTTAGAGGTAATGCTGAAATGCTGATAATCAGTGGTTTGTCACTGATAAAGTAGACGTGTTTGGAAACATGTGAATACTGATGAAAATGTTTTATCTTTGGCAGACTCCCAAGCCAGCAAAGTCTGCAGGTGATGCCCAGAAAGCTGCTGCTGCTGGCCCATCTTCAGAGAACTGTAAGTTGAACTCCGTTGTGTTTCTATTTGAGGAACTGTGCAGACATTCCTGCTTAGAATTGGGCCTCAACAACCTGTACATTGGGTACGAAGTGATTGAATGGACGTGAGGCTCCGTGACTTGTTTGATCGCTGGTCATCATACCCCAATGAACATTGCTCATAATATCAATCACTGGATTGTCTGGTCCAGTTTCGATTATTTATAGACTGATGACATATAGCTGGAGTATTGTGTAGCTTTGAACAACAAGCGAACAAACAAACAAAGCTCTTTTGAAGATTTTAAAGACCATAATAAAAATGACTTCAAATTTGACTTTGGCTAAATTTTGCGAAATTCATGTGTTAAACGTTTATGTTGTGTTGTGCGGAGTAAGCAATGTACCAACTGTTTCAGTCCTAGGGGAAGACGGTCATGTGAAGAGTTTCATGGAGATGATGGGGGATGCTGTCAAGTTCCACAAGCCAGGTGAGCTGTGTGGATCAGAATTCTTCTTGTTGGCACTCTTAAAAAACATGGACTTCTATCCCTGAAGTGATCAATATTCAATTATAAGACGACCCGTGAAGATTCCGGGGTAGAATAGGTCTTCAGCAACCCATGCTTGCCGTAAAAGGCGACTATGCTTGTCGTAAAAGGCGACTAACGGGATCGGGTGGTCAGGCTCGCTGACTTGGTTGATGCATGTCATCGATCCCAATTGTGTGGATCGATGCTCATGATATCAATCACTGGATTGTCTGGTCCAGACTCGATTATTTATAGACCGCCGTCATATAGCTGTAATATTGCTGAGTGCGGCGTTAAACAACAAACCAACCAAACAAATCGATTATAAGGGAACTTTGTATGATTTCTTAGGGATAAAAGGATATGCATTTCTACCTCTTAATGACAATATTGCCGATGTGACGTAAAGCTTTAACTCACTCACTTAATGACAAATATTTAAGTGTAATGGGACTTTGTATGATTTCTTAGGGTTAACAAATAGGAGTGTAATGGTATGTCCAACTATCAAACTATCACAATTGTTTGCCCTACGATAGTACTATATTACTAGGATTTTATAAATGCCAATGGTATTGTCGATAGTATGCATAACAATTGATCGTATAAATAGTTGCAATGAGTTATAAATAATACATATTTTAGGCTTAAATTGATTCTCAGGCAATGGCAGTGTCATTTTTGTTGTTGGTTGTTTAAACTAGTATCTAACCAACCATATATATAATTGTATACCATCAACCTGGGAAAGGGCCTCCCTACATAAATGTATTCCTTGATGGGTAAAATACTGGAATACAGTATTTCACTACTGTTGGACTTGGAGTATTTAAGTTTTATTTTTGTTTTTATTAAAATGGAAATAAAAACGAAACGTGCGTCGGACTGTATGATAGTGAGGGTGGTGCCCGAGACTACTGTTATTTTTAGCCTTATGTGAATTTCAAACCTGGTTGGTTAGCAAGGATTACAGAAAATCAGATTAGGACTTTCCTTTCTTTTTGAGTAGTGACAGGGAGGAAAATTACCATTGTTGAGATTGTCAACAATACTTACTCATTTCTGTTACATTGATGAATATAATTATCAAGCATTAAAGTTGGTTTACTACTACTGCAATAGCTGACAACTATCGCAATTCTGCTGCAACAGTGTGTGCTACTAATGCAATAGTGAAAGTAGCCCTAATAGTCACCCCTATTAACAAATCATGTGAAGTTAGGAAACTGGAATAATAATATGGGGAAAAGAGTCAAAGGCAAAGGCAAGTTTTTTTAAGCGGATATTATTATCTCGTTTGTATCAAAATGGTATGTGTTATGGTCAGTCAGAAATTATGTTCCGGTATGATTGGTTGGAGCTCTGGTTTGCTAACAAATGACACCAGTTACCCGAGAAGCACTTTTGCCAGATTTTAGGCAAAATTAATTTTTTCATGAATGTTTTGATTCATTTTTCAGGTGAAAATTACAAAACTGATGGCTATGTTCTCACACCAAAGACTATGGACATCCTAAAAGAACATCTCCGGGTCACTGGTGGCAAGGTCAGAGTTGCCTCCCTTAGTTGTGCTAGGATATGTTGATTGTCGGTTTGAATCCTTGATTCATCCCTAGTATGATACTTGTTAACATCATAACCATGCATGACCTGCATTACTTACTTCCAACTTTTAATTAACGGGTTTTATTTGAAAATGATATGCAGTTCAAAGCAATGTTAAATGCATCACAGTCTCTCTCTTAGACTGAAATGGGTATGCGATGGTAACAATGGCTGCTGAGATGGATGACTCAACTGTGAGACCAGCATCATTTATTACTTGAATTTAAAACCGCCTCCATGGTCTAGAGGTAGAGCGTCTGCCCGGGGAGAGGAAGGTCCAAGGTTCGATCCCTGGCCGCGTCATACCAAAAGACGTTAAAAGATGGTACTTGTTGTTACCCTGTCTGGCGATCGGCTTTAAGGGGCTAAAACAAGGACTGGTCTACACGGGAGTCAGTATACTGTGTCTGAGTGGGGTATTCATGTCAAACTGCGGCATGGTATCTCAGTGAGCTAGCACTATAAATCGGCATCGGTCTGGACTAGTACAAGCAGACACACACACACACACAGATTTGCCCTGATTATGCTACTGTGTACAAAGTAAATACATCTAAGACCTGCATCTCGGACTGGCGTCACATGGGAAGCTGACACACAGGGATGTAACTGAAATACTGATGAACGCAGCGTTAAACTCACTCACTCACTCACTCACTCACTCACTCACTCACTCACTCACTCACTCACTCCATGAGTGAGTGAGTGAGTGAGTGAGTGGGTGAGTGAGTGAGTGAGTGAGTGAGTGAGTGGTTCCATGAGTGAGTGAGTGGTTCCATGACTGAGTGAATGTGGTTCCATGAGTGATTGAGTGAGTGAGTGAGTGAGTGAGTGGGTGAGTGGGTCACTCACTCACTCACTCACCCACTCACTCACTCACTCACTCATGGAACCACTCACTCACTCACTCACTCACTCACTCACTCACTCACTCACTCACTCACTCACTCACTCACTCACTCACTCACTCACTCATGGAACCCCTGGGCTCACATTCTGCCGTATTACATTTGCATGCAGTCATAAAATAGCTGACTGCATACTTTTATAATGATATGTATTGTGCTCAAAATGTGATATTACCCTTTTCTTTCCCTGACATGTAGGTATATTCAAGATTCCCCCCCGAGCCTAATGGTATTCTCCATATTGGCCATGCTAAGGCAATCAACTTCAACTTCGGGTATGCCAAGGTAAGTACCTGTCTCTAGGGGCACCCTGTCACAGCTCAGGGTCAATACTTCACACTACGTTCTCCATCACATTTTGAATACATATGGTCCGACCCTTGAAGAATTGATCTTTGTCAACCCATGTTTGTCGTAAGAGGCGACTAACGGGATCGGGTGGTCAGGCTCGCTGACTTGGTTGATGGTTGACTTGTCATTGTAGACAATTCAGTGATTGACATCATGAGCATCGATCCATACAATTGGGATACGATGACATGCATCAACCAAGTCAGAGAGCCTGACCACCCGATACTTACTTACTTAAATTGGAGATTTTACGTGCGCTTTCCGACTGCAGCATATTTTGCACACGGGGACCACCCGATCCCGTTAGTCATCTTTTATGACAGGCATAGTTGCCTTTCAAGGCAAACATAGGTTGCTATTGTACCCCGGATCTTCACGGGTAGTGTTGTGTATGTACTGATGACGAGGCCCAGCTTGATGGGGGCTCAAAGGGGGCATTATCATCATTGCTAAGCATCAATTGTATATTGCAAATTCCATGCCAATTGTCAGTCAGTTTTCTTCCTGGAACAGCCGAATTGGCCACCCCCGTGCAGAGTTGTGCCCCTTAGACATGCCAGAATCCTTTGATCGGGGTTCAAATCCTGGTTTGCCCCGATTATGTTTCAAGGTTTCTCAGTGCCAACCTGTGTTCATGGGTTTCACTAAGTTGTAAATGTCTGAGACCTGCATCACTTCAGGCTTATCTCCTACAACAGCTGTCACTCCATGACCTAACTGAAATATAGAAATAAAGAAATTCAATCAAAATTCATTGATTCGTAATGACACCCAGCAGATTTTGAATGAAGATGTATTTTGACGATGAAGTTTGGATGTCCCCCAGGCTACAGGTGGGAACTGCTACCTGAGGTACGACGACACCAACCCCGAGAAGGAGGAGGAGAAGTTCTTTGTGGGGATCCGAGAGATGGTGGAATGGCTTGGTGAGTAGATAGTCCAGTGAGTAGATCGTCCAGTGAGCTAGTTCTGCTGTCTGCCTAGCATGCCTGCTGTGTGATTCTAACCTCATCCCCAGCAACGTATGCTGTCGTAAAAGGTGACTTGATTGATGAGGTGGTAAAGCTCGGTGACTTGATTGAAAGTGTGTCATCATTCCCCAACAGCACATCTTCCCGAGGCAAGAGAGTTAACTGACTTTAAAGTCCAGTCTCCACCCTTGCCAAACTAGGCTGGAATACTTGGCTTGATCGTAGCGCCACCAGTGGCTATTACCAGTTATGTCCCCTCTAAGCCTCTCCTATGGACCAATGAGATTCCACCTCTCGTATCACTTGCGTTTGCTTCACACAAAATGGTGGCGCACAGTCAGGACGATCTGATCGATAATCAAGATCTATATTGTGATAAAACGGGTCTTACATTGCGAAATGCATCATTTCACGTGAGCACCTTGATTAAGAACATGAAAAGATTTGGAAAATATCAGCTGACAACGAGTTGGCTGGTGCACATGCTTTGCAAATCCTGCAAATGACTGCACAACAGTTTACGAACCGGATTTCGATTTAGGTGCGCGATTTGGATTGGACTATGCATAGACTCGTTAGTCCAGCCAAAATGTAACTCCATAATACCAGCCTAGTTCGGCAAAGGTGGAAACTGGACTTTTATAATCAGTTAACTCACTTGCCACGGCAAGATGCAACAGCATGGATCATTGCTCACATCAATCACTGGCTTGTCATGTCCAGATTTACGGCGTTAAGCAACAAACAAGTAAGCAAGAAACAAGTTGTGACAGTGCTGGCAGATTTCTAAAAGTCACACAACACTTGCTCACTTGCTTGTGGGCATTGGAGCCATCAAGAGCTCAAGCTGAAATAGGGTCAGTATTTCGTTAACCCCTCAAGCCTAAGATATCAGTTGCAGACGTAACATGTACAAAAGACGGCCTTCATGGCCTACGTTCTCTTGTGTCCTCGATAGGTGTGGTCAGCAGTACGTAGAGTAGCATCTGACCGACACGAACGATTTACGTCAATGTGATGGCTGTTTTCAGGTTACAAGCCTTGGAAAGTGACTCACGCCTCGGACAACTTTGACCAGCTGTATGCCTACGCTGTGGAGTTGATAAAACGGGGCCAGGCTTACATCTGCCACCAGCGACCAGAGGAAGTGAAAGGTTACAATAACCCGGATTCTCCGTGGAGGGACAGGCCTGTTGATGAATCTCTGCAGCTCTTCGAGGTAAGTTCAGAACATAATACCGTGAACTGGAAATGTTGCACATAATGCGGGGGGATATAGTCGATGTCGTCCTTCCAGATGTCTGTCTGTAATCATATCGTTTCTGGAGAACAACTCTAAAACTGTTCAATATTTTTCAACAAAATTTGGCAGATATATCAAACAGATCCTGAAGTGGTGCCTTTTGCTATTTACAGATTTGGGGCATTTGTATTTTTTATGGATTTCCATGGAATTTTTTTAAAACTTATTCTCATAAGGGGATGGATTTCGTTTCTGGAGCTCAGCTTGAAAACTGTTTAATATCTTTCATCAAAACTTGGCAGATGTATTAAACAGATCCTGAAGTGGTGCCTTTTGCTATTTGTAGATTTTTGGCATTTTTAATTTTTTGCCGTTTCCATGAAAGCATTTGGATTTGGTCTCAAGATGGGATGGATGTCCTTTTCAGAGCAGGGCTTGAAACTCATTAAATACTCTCAAACAAAACATGCCTTTGTGGTGCCTTTATTTTAAAAATGTTAAGGAATATTTTTCCCCTGTTTCCATGGAGACAAATTGGACTTAGTCTGAAATTGTCTTGCTGTTTCTGTGAGAGTAAAACTTAAAATCCTTTAAATATGTTTATCAAGGCTTTGAAAAGTGTTTCAAATAAAATAAAGATTCTTTGGTATGGTTGTGTGATTTCTTTTTTCATTTTGACAGTTGTCAGGAAGTATAATCATAGGATAAACATTTAAATATGGTTCCCATTGCTATTTCTCGATTTAAACAAAATGTTTGCTTGAAAATGTGTTTCAAGGAAATAAAGATTCTTAAATCGGGTTGTGTCATTTCTTTTTGCATAAAGACTGATCTATTACTGTAGAATAAACATGCTGTGAGAAGTTTTTCCTACTGCTTTTGACATACACTAAAGTTTTTCGCAAATGTTTTGCAAATGTCAAATAAACCATTCTAACACCACTGCGACATTCCATAGTATATATGTGTATAAGCCCATATCGCAGCATATGCTCACTCCAATATTTAAAGAATGCTAAAATTTGAACTCCTGCCATTTGTAAATTCGCCCATCCTTTTTGTGTTCGATGTTGGATTGGCCCATTGGGCTTATATTTAAAAAAATGGGACGGGGGATGACTCTTGATTTATCCTGAAAAGACTCAGTTAAGCATTCCAATTGTTGTCCATTTAAATTGGAAGTTAGAAGTACAGTAGGAATTATTTCCTCTGGTCATGTCACTCTGTTGATAGCATCTTCAGTTTCTTTGTATATCTATCCGTCCAGAGTTGGGGAACGCAAGATGTCCTTGTCTTATTATTAAAATGGACACTGTGTAATGCTAATTTCCAGAGAAGATCTTGAAAGCCCTACACTATTTCTTTATCAAACTTGGTACATTGATAGGTCCAGCGGTGAGCCTTGACTTAGGCTGAAAATGGCGGTAATGCTCATTTCCGGAGCAGATCTTGAAAACCATACTATATTTCTTCACCAAACTTGGGAAACAGATAGGTCCAGTGGTAAACTGATACCTTTTGGTTGTTTAAGGGTTTTTTAAATAATTATTTTTCAAGTTTCCATGGCAACAATATATATATATAACTAGCTGACACATTCATGACAAGCATTTAACCATTGCAGGGCATATCAATGACCTTGTCCTCATATGACTGGCATTTGAGCTGCATTTTAGGGGACTTGATCTTGCATTTTTGGGAGCATTTGACCTTCAGTAAATGTTATTTTAGTGTGTCTGATCTCATGTGTAACAGTCAAATAATGATTGTCTGTTCTGTAGGATATGAAGCGAGGCAAGCTCGCTGAAGGGGAGGCAACTCTGCGCATGAAGACAACTCTGGAGGAAGGGAAGAAGGACCCTGTTGCTTACAGGATCAAGTTTGTATCCCACCATCGGACCGGAGACAAATGGTATGGGCAAATACATTTTATGACAGCTCTGATTATCTTCTGTGGGTATTCTGGTGGAATAGGTCCCCAGTACTAGGGCTGGGACAGGTAACTCGGGTCCCCGGGTCGGGTGGGTACTGAGTAGGAGCCGTGTACCCACAGGACTACCCAGACCCTTGGCTAGTCACGTGATATATAGTTTAATGTTTAACAGTTTAATAAAATTAAATAAAAATAAAGCTTCGGTCAAGCTTCATAGTGTACCTGAATACTTTTTACCAGGGTTCTGGTCAAACTATTCCCTATCGGACATTTTGTACCAATCTCTTGAGACCCACAGCGGGTACACGGGTAGGGTCGTATGATTGGGGGTTGGGTACCCGGGAAGTAAATTTGCACTCGTCCTAGCCCTAGAAGATGTCCACAGTACCCAGCTCGAACCGACTGATGAGGATTGGATGGTAACAATGTGTGATGTGGCTGATTGTGTATGAACATGCGGAGACAGTAGCGATAGCAACTTATGCCATCTACCACTGGTCAGCCATGATATTAGGGTTGGGACGATGGACCAAATGTACGATCCGATACGTATCACAATACCTTACTCACGAGCCGATATGTATCATGATACTTGCACGTGCTCTTATCTGTGGTCCGTAAGCCAAATACCTGGCACACTGACTATTAACACTTGGCAGTGTTTAGGGAAGTTTGGCACAACGGATGAAAATATTTACATTTTCACTATTAACTTTCACTACTAATTAGTGTTTAGTGGAACAGCTATCAAAGAAAACTTTTAAGATAAGAATTGATACTTTTACTTTATGCACGACTGTGAGGATACTTGTATCGAGAAGTAAAAGATCGAGATCCACCGATGCCTCAGTGTATCGTCCCACCGAAGAGGCGACTAACGGGATCGGGTGGTCAGGCTCGCTGACTTGGTTGATGCATGTCATCGTATCCCAATTGTGTGGATTGATACTCATGATGTCAATCACTGGATTGTCTGGTCCAGACTCTATTCTTTACAGACTGCCATCATATGGCTGGAATATTGCCGAGTGTGGCGTTAAACAACAAACAAACAAACAACATGAGAAAGCTGGAAAATTCCTCACTGCAGCTCAAAACATCTTTCCTTCACTTACCATAGGGTTCTTTTTAATAAAGGACTTCAAATAACCAAGCTCCTTAATAAATTTCCTTATTTGAATTTAATGTTTGATTTATGTCGCAATTAGACTCTATAAATTTTTACAGAACTTAATATATCACAGGTGCAGATCTTTTTAGTGAATTACTGACTTGATTTAGAGAAGAAATCCTCAGCCAGTGGTGGGGCGGTCGGGTAGCCTCGTGGTTAAAGCGTTAGCTCGTCACGCCGAAGACCCGGGTTCGAATCCCGACATGGGTACAGTGTGTGAAGCCCATTTCTGGTGTCCCCCGCCGTGATATTGCTGGGATATTTCTAAAAGCGGCGTAAAACCAAACTCACTCACTCACTCACTCAGCCAGTGGTATTCCTTGTCAAAAATCATCCGATTTAATGAAGCCAAATGAATGTGTGTTTTTCACAGGTGTATTTATCCGACGTACGACTTCACTCACTGTTTGTGTGACTCCATAGAAAACATCACCCACTCTCTGTGCACCAAGGAGTTCCAGTCCAGGTGAGGAGAGTTCTGTGTTTGCCTCCCTGTGGGGACCCAAGTGTGGGGAGTGGTGGGCTAGCCTAGTGCAGATCCCGGGTTTGATTCCCACATGGGTACAGTGTATATTACAGCAGTGAAGATCCGGGGTAGACTAGGTCTTCAGCAACCCATGCTTGTCGTTAAAAGGCGACTAACAGGATTGGGTGGTCAGGCACACTGCATGTCATCGATCCCAATTACGAGGATCGATGCTCATGATATTAATCACTGGATTGTCTGGTCCAGACTCGATTATTTACAGACCGCCATCATTTAGCTGGAAAATTGCTGTGTACTGCGTTAAACAACAAACCAACCAACCAACCCATGACCCATGAAGATCCGTGGTAGACCGTGGTCTTCAGTAACCCATGCTTGTCGTAAAAGGCGATTAACGGGATTGGGTGGTCATGCTCGCTGTCTTGGTTGATGCATATCATGGTATCCCAATTGGATGGATCGATGTTCATTATATCAATCACTGGATTGTCTGGTCAGGACTCGATTATTTACAGACCGCCATCATATGGCTGGAATATTGCTGAGTGCGGCATTAAAACAACAAACAACAACCAAACAACCAAACAACCAAACAAGCAAACACTCAGTGCCTCCCTGTTGCAGACGGTCCTCCTACTACTGGCTGTGTAACGCCCTGGACATCTACTGCCCAGTCCAGTGGGAGTACGCCCGCCTCAACCTCAACTACGCCGTCGTCTCCAAGAGGAAAATAGCCAAGCTCATCAATGAAGGATTCGTCAGGTATGCTGATGCTATTTGGGATTCACACCATCACAAACAAGGATCCTCAATTCGGTGTCAAGTTCTGAAGCTTGATGATTTCAGGGTCAAGATTTAATTTTTTAATGGTTGACAATGCCCCTTGTTGTAATGACAACAAAATTTGCAAATTGATAATCCTAAACGTTGTGTTCCTCATAATAAAGAAGTTGACATCCATAACTTCTCTTCCTTATGTGTCTCACTTCTAAATGCCTTTCGTGGGTCACGGGTGGCCTAGTCGTCTAAGGCGCCGCAATTTGCTGTGCAGAGTTGCACCCCTTGGGCATGCCAGAAACCTATGATTGTGGGTTTGAATCCCAGTTCACCCCGATTATGTTTCTAGGTTTGTCAGCACCATACCCGTGCTCGTGGGTTTCACCAAAGTTGTAAACGTCTGAGACCTGCATCACTTCGGGCTTTCCTCCCACATTAAGCTGACATGCCTAGTATAACTGGAATACTGTTAAATGCGGCGTTAAACCCCCCTCACTCACTCGCTCTAAATGCCTTTCAAAGACTTGATGCTACCCCTCAGCGTGAAGATCTGGGGATACCTCTACAGGAGGTCGTGTCAAGTTGACTTTCTAATGTGCCAGTTTGCGTCAAAGCTTCTGCATTCTCATCATGAGTGACAGGGTTAGAAACTAACAGTTTTTGTCCACTAGTCCTTATAATGATAACATATAGCAAAATCCTTAAAATGGGCCAATTTCTACTAGTCCTTAGGATACCTTTACTCAATGGTTTTTATTTGTGCATATCAAAATTTGAAAATGGAGGTAGTAAAGGAATGAAGCAGAATCATTTTAGAAAGCTAACATCTGATTGGCTCAAGAACTGATTGGCTCAGAACCATTTTAGACAGCTGACATCTTATTGGCTCAAGAACTGATTGGCTCAGCATCATTTTAGACAGCTGAAATCTGATTGGCTCAAGAACTGATTGGCTTAGCATCATTTTAGACAGCTGACATCTGATTGGCTCAGAATCATTTTAGACAGATGACATCTGATTGGCTCAGAAACATTTTAGAAAAATGACATCTGATTGGTTAAAGAACCCACGCTACTTTCATTTACAAGTTTGCTCAGGGTCGACTTGACACAACCCCACGGAAGTGTCCTCAGATCTTGACACATAGTGGTATCGTATCGGAATAAAAGATTTTAATTAAATGGCTTTAATTTTCCCTGCATATTTGTGGTAATAGTTGAAATATAATGAAGGACCCACCAATGAACTGGTTCATATTTGACATTTCAGTGAGAATTCCATTCTTTCAGTGAAAAATAATTTAGACTGCTATTTTATTGGAAGGAACATGATTATAAGGAAGAAATACTCTTCTTTGAGTTGGACCTCACGTATTGTTTGTTCATATATGTATGGAGATGTCTCTAATAACAACTATGATTGTGTTATGAAGGACACATGTTAAATGTTGCAGGGACTGGGACGACCCTCGTCTGTTCACACTGACAGCATTACGAAGACGGGGATTCCCCCCTGAAGCAATCAATCTCTTCTGTGCCAAGGTCAGCTGTTTCTCCTTCATCTGCTGTTCCGTAAACTGCTGACTTTCAAAATGTTATCAAAGAAATGTATGGAAAAATGTAAAGAAACTTTCTTGGCAGTCATATTGAAAAGTGTTAGTCCACTAAGGCGTCTTGTTCTGCCAAATATTCACGTAGTCGCTACTTTGATATGTTGGAGGGTGGGTAGCCTTGTGGTGGAAGCGTTTGCTTGTAACTCCAAAGACATGGGTTCAATTCCCCATGTGGGTTCAATGTGTGAATTCTTGCCTCTTCTATGACTGGACTGTTGCTGAAAGAGATATGAAACTATACTCACTCTGCGTAGGGGGAGTCTGTTTGGGGGGGTTTTGGTTTGGTTTGTTGTTTAACGCTGCACTCAGCTATATTCCAGCTATATGATGGCAGACTGTAAATAATCATGACCAGTCAATCCAGTGAGCATGAGCATTGTTCCACACAATTGGGATACGATGACATGCATCAACCAAGTCAAAGAGCCTGACCACCCGATCCTGTTAGTCGCCTCTTACGACAAGCATGGTCACCTTTTATGGCAAGCATGGGTTGCTTAAGACCTATTCTACCCCGGATCTTCACTGGTATATGCTAGTTGTAAGAGATGACTTAGAGGTTTAGATGGTGAGGCTCGTGACTCTGTTAATTGCATGTATTCATAGCCAGTTGGTGGATTTGTTGCTCATAATATGGATCAGATATGGTCCAGACTTGATTATTTCAGGCGATGCAGTGTAAACAAGAAACAAACACTAGTTTCATATTTTTAGTGACTATCATCAAGGATGATGATACAAAATTTTGAAAAGAATTATAATCTTTAAAAAGTACCGGTAACTAAAAAGATGCCTTGATGGCCCCCATTAGCATCTACGACGTGATTATTTGCCTAATAGTGAACATATATTTGAAGCTAATTAACTAAGTAGCTCTGCACAAGAATTATTAGCCAACCTTTAATGTTGACAGATTTCCTTGTAAAGGGAAGTAACTCTAGTGTAATTTCTGACTACAGGCCATATCCAAATATGAAAAAAGATTGAATTGCTTCTTGTCATGTGTTTGGTTGTGTGGTTTAACCTGTTGCTGATGTTGCAGGTGGGAGTGACGATGGCTCAAACCGTTATTGATCCCATCATGGTGGAAGCGTGTGTCCGAGATCTGCTTAATGTCACAGCCCCAAGGTAGGTTGTAATGTGATCTGTGTTATGCAGTTCTTAGTGATATGGTCCTGTGACTGATGCACTGATATCTTCATCGCTGTGGCGATTCTAGGTTAGAATTGGTCCCCAGCAATCTATGCTTGTCATATGAAACTACTAAATGAATCGGTTTGCCAGGTGCAGGAACTTGGTTGTTATCGCTCCAGCTTGATAACAGTGTAAGAATCTACATCGAAACATGACTATGCGCAATAAACCAGAAGTTCTTATCCATAAAGTTGTATGTTTTCTTACTTACTCGCCAACTTCAAGAATGCCAGTCAAAAATTCAGTAACTTAGGTGACTATGTGTCTTCCTATCCCGACAGATTGTATCATTCTCACAATATCAATCACTTGTTTGTCTGGTCCAGCATATTATATACCATTATCTGCTGGAGCCATTTTGCTACAATTTATGCCAAGAAGGTTTGAGTCTGCTGGCCCAAACAGGACTCTAAGCATCATTTTCAGCAGATTTTAGTATCTTGACTACTATGTTAGTATTAGCTGAGCTTACTAGACTTAACTACCAGTGAAGATCCAGGATAGAATAGGTCTTCAGCTACCCATGCTTGCCGTAAAAGGCGACTATGCTTGTTGTAAGAGGTGACTAACGGGATCGGGTGGTCAGGCTTGTTGACTTGGTTGATGCTTGTCATCGTATCCCAAATGTGTAGATCGATGCTCATGATGTCAATCACTGGATTGTCAGGTCCAGACTCTGTTATTTACAGACCGCTGTCATATAGCTGGAATCTTTCTGAGTGCGGCGTAAAACAACAAACAAACAAACAAACAATCTGTGCCACAAACGTTTACCACAAGTCTACTTGCCCGAACAAGACTCTAAGAATCATTTTAGCAGATTTGATCATCTTGACTACTATATTGGTATAAGCTAAGCTTACTAGACTGAACAGAATTTTGCTAGACTTGGGCTTCGAACAAGTGGCTAAAGTCGCTGACTGTAGCTGTAGTATTGCTGACAGTGAATTAAACAACAAACAGACAAAGACTGATGTCTGAGGAGCATGAAATATCAAGCCTAACCAGCTGGGTGTTCTGTGTACAGGGCAATGGCCGTCCTGGAACCTCTGAGGGTGACAATAACCAACTTACCCAATGCCACCAGCGAGGTGTCCGTACCCAACTTCCCCGCAGATGAGAAGAAGGGCTTCCACAAAGTACCTCTCAGGAAAACAATCTTTATTGAACAGTCAGACTTTAGAGAGGTAAGAGCCTGCCACTAAAACACACAAAGAATTACAAGAAATATCTAGTCTGACTAAAACAGAGCTCCAGAAAAGCTGCGTATCTGCGTGAAATACGCATCAGAAATGCAGATATACGCAGTAAAATATAATCCAAGCGTATCAAATACGCAACGAACATTACAGATACGCTACAAAAATAAAATTTGTGCGTATCATCAAAATATTGTGAAGTAACCCTGCGTATTCGATTAGCAAATCAGCAACTTATTTTGAAATTATAAACGGGCATTCCGTCAACCTTGCCAAACTCCACGATGACAGTCACATCATGATCATTTGCCATCACACTTTCTTGTGGAAGTATCGTGGTATTTTTGAGTCCTATAAAGCTCTCGAACCCACACGACACCAGTTTGCAGGGACTAGATGAATAGTGTTTTTAAATATTTAACTTAAATACCCACATGTGTAAAAACTAGTGGGTAACAGAAATTTGAATACGCAGATAGAATTACTGATACCCAATGATTTTAAAATGCATGGGTAAAATACCCACAACACCAAAAGCTTATTTGGAGCTCTGCTAAAACAACATCTTTAAGACGTCTGTCATGTCTACAGAACTCTACAAACTGGGATGTATTATGCTTATTTAATGTGCCAATAATGAGTAATATTTACATCAGTTCTGAGTTGTTTTGTTTCACATAATTGTTGTTGTTATTTTCATTTGATTTTTATTGAATTACCGCATTGCATATATATATATATTACTCAAAAGACATTTTATGTGACTTAGTTATTTTGTCACTTTTGGTGGTCAGACTTAGTGACTTGATTGAATCATGCTCCTGATGAGGCTAGGCGACTAAGCTTGCCGTAAAAGGCGACTATGCTTGTCGTAAGAGGCGACAAACGGGATCGGGTGGTCAGGCTCGCTGATTGGTTGATGCATGTCATCGATCCCAATTGCGTGGATCGATGCTCATATCAATCACTGGATTGTCTGGTCCAGACTGGATTATTTACAGACCGCCGTCATATAGCCGGAATATTGCTGAGTGTGGCGTAAAACAACAAAGCAACCAACCAACCCGATGAGGCTGCTAATAATATCAATCACTGGTTTGTCTGGTCCAGACTTGATTATTTACAGGCCACCTTCATATGGTGCGGCAACAAACAAACACACAAAACAACAAAACAAAACAACAAAAAACAAAACAAAACACCTTCACTCACTCCCTCACCTGACTGTTTGTCTCAGGAAGCAGACAAGAACTACAAGAGGCTTGCCCTGAACCAGTCTGTTGGTCTTCGACACGCCGGCTATGTCATATCAGTCGACAAAGTCAACAAGGTAGGCTCACAATGACAGGTATTTATTTGGTTTGTTCCTATTTCTCTTTCTTTTTCGGACCGCCTCCGTGGTCTAGTGGTAGAGCGTCCGCCCGGAGAGCGGAAGGTCCGGGTTCGATCCCCGGCCGCGTCATACCAAAAGACGTTAAAAGATGGTACTTGTTGTTACCCTGTCTGGTGCTCGGCATTAAGGGGTTAAAGCAAGGACTGGTCAGCTCGGAGTCAGTATACTGTGTCTGAGTGGGGTATTCATGTTAAACTACGACATGGTATCTCAGTGAGCTAGCACTATAAATCGGCATCAGTCCGGACTAGTACAAGCAGCCACACACACACACACACACACACACGTGCATGCACGTCGCTATATAAGTGCAATAATCTTGGACGCGACTTTAAACCCAATTTCACCTCACCTCACCTTTCATTTTTGAATTGAACAATGTTTCTCTGATTAGTTTTCTACATCAGTACATGATTGCACTGTTTATGTAGTTTTCAACTTGGAGACAATGTTATATTTGTTATGCCGATACAGCTCCTAGAAAACGCCCTTAAAAACTTACGTCTCTGGGAATTCCAGGCATAAGAGACTCTGATTATTGCATGCTTGTTGTAGATGCTGATTACAGTTGGGTGGTATGTGGGACTGGGTTGTGTCCCAAAGGGGTTCATACTGTAGACTACTGATGTGTTGGACGTTGGGACAACTTACCTCATTTGTTTCTTGAACCCGTGCAGATCCGGGGTAGGATAGGTCTTCAGCAACCCATGCTTGCGACTAAAGGGATTGGGTGGTCAGACTTGCTGACTTGGTTGATGCATGTCATCGTATCCCAGTTGCGTAGATCGATGCTCATGAAGTCAATTGATTATTTACAGACCGCCATCATATAGCTGGTATATTGCTGAGTGCGTCATTAAACAACAAACAAACAAATCATTTGTTACATGTAACGTTTCCTGTCAACTTAGTGTTGAGATGTAGTGTAGGGTAGTGGTATAGTGAATACAGTATTTAAAATATCCAACTGTCTGACAGTCCAAGACGGTGCATGCCCGATGGTTATTATTGTATTCCCTAAATTAGTCTAGTTTTCATTGAATGTAACTGGTGAATTAACTGTAGTTAACAATCCATCAGTTTATTGTTATCTTCTGAGAGCTACCATTAAACAGTACTGCTCTTATGTTTACCCTGTTGTTACTTTTGTTGTGGAGCATTCTGGACTGGCAACATTTTATCAGGACTGGCAACATTTTATCTGGACTGGCAACATTTTATCTGGTCTGGTAACTTTGCAAAGTTGCCAGTCCGGTTATCTGACTGAAATTTGGGAATTATATAAACTAGTAACTAGTAGTGCCATAAGTGACAGGTGGCGGTATAGTGAAGGTTTGGTGGCTTAGTGAAGGGTAGTTGTATGGTGAAGGGTTGATGGAGAAGTGAAGGGATGGCATTATTGTGAAGGGTGGTGGGATTGATGGTTGGCATTATAGTGAAGGGTAGTGGGATAGTTGAGGGTTGGCATTATAGGGAAGGGTAGTGGTATAGTGGAGGGTTGGCATTATAGTGGAGGGTAGTGGTATAGTGGAGGGTTGGCTTTAAAGTGAAGGGTAGTGGTATAGTGGAGGGTTGGCATTATAGTGGATGGTTGGCATTATAGTGAAGGGTAGTGGTATAGTGGAGGGTTGGCATTATAGTGGAGGGTTGGCATTATAGTGAAGGGTAGTGGTATGGTGAAGGGTTGGTGGAATAGTGGAGGGTTGGCATTATAGTGAAGGGTAGTGGTATAGTTGGGGGTTGGCATTATAGTGAAGGGTAGTGGTATAGTGGAGGGTTGGCATTATAGTAAAGGGTAGTGGTATAGTGGAGGGTTGGCATTATAGTAAAAGGTGGTATAGTGGAAGGTTGTTGGCATAGTGACAGGTGGTGGTATAGTGGAGGGTAGTGGTATAGTGAGGGGTAGTGGGAAGACTATTCAAGTCACACACAGTAGATACATGACCTCGGTATATTGCAGGACAACGCAGGCAAACCCACAGAGCTGCTGGTCTCTTGCAAGAAGGCAACTGAAGCTGAAAAACCAAAGGCTTTCATACATTGGGTGTCCGACCCTCTCCCCTGTGAAATACGACTCTATGAAAGATTGTAAGTATACATACTTTATGTTGTAAATATAGTCTACTTTAGTCATCTTCCCGAGGCAAGAGAGTTAACTGACTTTAAAAGTCCAGTTTCAACCCTTGCCGAACTAGGCTGGTATTATGGAGTTACATTTTGGCTGGAATAACCAGTCCATGCATAGTCCAATCAAAATCACGCACCGAAATCGGAATCCTGTTCGTAAACTGTCGTGCAGATTTCAGTCGATTGCAGTATTTGCAAAGCATGTGCACCACCAACTTGGTGTCAACAGGTGTTTTCTAAATCTTTTCATGTTTTTAATCAGTGTGCTCACGTAATTTTATGCTGTGTGCAATGTAAGACCCATTATATACGATATAGATCTTTGATTATTGATCAGATCGTCTTTAGTTGGTGCCGCCATTTTGTTTGTTGCAAATGCAAGTTATACGAGAGGTGGAATCTGATTGGTTTAAAGGAGAGGCATAGAAGAGACATAACTCGTAATAGCCACTGGTGGCGCTACGATCGAGCCCAGGAATTCCAGCCTTGTTCGGCAAGGGTGGAAACTGGACTTTTATAGTCAGTTAATTCCCTTGCCTCAGGAAGATGACGTTAGAACACTCATTAGGGAAGTGGCCATATTAGAAAACTCAATATCACCCCCAAGATGTGAAATGTTTGGAAAGTTGAAACAAACAACTGTTTGGTATTGGTCCAAATATTCAGGCATTGCTGTAACCCCTACCAAGGTAGTGCAAGTAGTATGTCATTTATACTGTTTACTTTCAATTCATTTCTATTTGTCTATTTGCAGGTTCTACCATAAAAACCCGGAGGATGCCAGTGAAGTGCCTGGTGGTTTCCTGACGGATGTAAATAAGGTGAGCTTCTGGGGAACTACGCCGTCAATGGGACTGGACTGGACTGAATAATATGCTTTTCGAACAATACATATTGCAATATCTTTTCTATGTTCAGGCGGGGGGCATGGGTGGCCCAGTCGTCTAAGGCGCCGTGATTTGCTGTGCAGAGTTACGTCCCTTGGGCACCCCAGAAACCTATGATTGTGGGTTCGAATCCCGGTTCGCCCCGATTATGTTCCTTGGTTTGTCAGCACCATACCCGTGCTTGTGGGTTTCACCGATGTGGTAAACGTCTGAGACCTGCATCACTTCAGGCTTTCCTCCCACATTAAGCTGACACGCCGCGATATAACTGGAATACTGTTAAAAGCGGCGTTTAACTCACTCACTCACTCACTCACTCACACTTAATGTTCTGGTATATTGGGTTAAAAATATTACCAGCTTTGTTATTATTTGTATAATTTAACCTAAAGTATGAACAGAAATTCATTCACAAATGATGATTCCGTTTAAACCTGGTTGACAAAATAGTTAAACTTGTTACAACTACTGCTCAATAAAATGTGTTTGTGTTTATATTCAAGTTGGTTTTTCCGCTATCCAAAGTGTGCTGTGAGGCCGTCTTATTGTTGATGGTCATTTTGGAGCCATAAATGCGACGTTTCATTAATGCAAACAAAGACTACTCGCATTTTTCGCATGAATTTCAAGATTTACAGTATCTGAAGGCGTGGGTTTGATTCCCCACATGCGTGAAGCATATTTCTTGTGTCGCCTACTACCTCGTGTTGCTAAGTTATTACTTATAATGGCGTAAAACAATACTCATTCCAATATGCAGTTAACACATCAATACATAACTGGTACTTCTGTAAAACAAATTGTCAGTCTGGGTTAAATTTAAAATAAAAAACCTCTTAGTTTCATTAGGTAGTAAACATTTGAAGTAACATGAAGATCCGGGTTAGAATAGGTCTTCAGCAACACATGCTTGTCATAAGAGGTGACTAACAGGATCGGATGGTCACGCTCGCTGACTTGATTGATGCATGTCATCATATCCCACTTCAGCAGATTGATGCTCATGATGTCAATCAGTGGATTATCGGTCGGTACTTGCTTATTTACCAGCTGCTGTAGATGGAATATTGCTGAGTGCAAACAAAAGTATTACACCTCTTTGCTGTGATTCAGAATGCACTCTAGGGTTGGACGTGACTCAGAATAATGTGCGTTCTGTATGCACAAATGTATAGCATGGACGCAGAAAAAAGAATATATTGCATCCCGAGGGAGGCATGGTAATATTACTGTATTCAACGAAATAAGTGCCCCGCTCTAATAACCGCCCACGGCGATATTTGCTAATATATTGGCTCATGAACCACCCCAATTAGCACCCCTTCCGATTGATCAATGTACACAAGACTTATTTATTTGCATATAATACGCACTTGTGTGTTATATGCACCCTTAATTATGGGGAATTAAATTCTGGAAAAATATTTCTGTTGTATATAAACATTTCAGGCTGTCAGCACAAACCACGAAATTTATCCTTTAACTCTGATTTTTTCCACCAAAATAATATTCTAATAAGAGCCCCCTATTTCTAATTTTGAGAGCGCCCTGGGCGCTTATTGCGTCATGGATCCCCAGGGTTGTAAGATTAAGCTAACACTGCACCCTAATTGGACAAACATGATCGTGATAAGACATTTGGATATTTTACTGGAGCTTCACAGCGCATGTGTAAGTGAAATGGAGAAAATGATAACCACAATTTTACTTTGCATAAATAAAGTGTAAAGTCTTTTAATCTGTTGATTATCAAAGTCAGTGTGAATCTGTAACACACATTACTGCTGAACTATGTACTGTTGTATAATGTTGGAGAGGCAATGGTGAAGTAGGTGAGATAAGATCACTGTAACCGGAGTTACCTCCCATGTATTGTCAATCTCAGGGCATGACATTTTTGGGTTTCATTCCACTGTCCATCAAAACATGCTGAATAATCGTTCATGCTTGCATTGTATTGAATCATTTGATGTCTCAGACTTGTTCAGACCTTCCCTCACAGCAAGCTGACACTCTGTGATATAAGTGAATATCACTAAATACTGTGATACAGCAAACACACTTACTTAAACTCACTGTGTGCATGGTGTGTGACCATGTTCTCTTAAAACAGTTTTCTTTCCTATTTCACTACCGGTATGTGGAAACCACATCGGTAAATAACCAGATAGGCTAATATAAGGCTGTATATTTACGGGAGAAATTGGAAATTGTGACATTTTTTTGTTACTACTGTAATGATAAAAATGGAACAGGCCACTCACTCACTTAGGATTAAATATTTAACAATTAGTGATGTACAGTCAAGTCTCGTTAATCCGACACTCCTAAATCCGACAATCGGCTTTATTCGACACAAATGATGTGAACCGATTTCATTAGTGCTATTTGGACCCGTTAATCCGACAGTCTCCCACTCCGACACACCTTATTTGCAACGAAATGCTGAAATCACTCAGTCTTGTTAATCCGACACAGTGATCAGGGTACTCCGTGGTCATCTGCCCGCGAGTACACAGCCCCGTGTTTTGATGCGAGACGAGTCGGCGAGTAGCTGCATATTTCACCGGCTGCAGAGATAAACATACTTAATAATAAACAATTACTGCTTTAAATAAACAAAACAGGAATAATCACATGCCTAGATTACCTCAATCTCAATTTTGTTTATCCAACATACTTGTTAATCCGACATAATTGAACCAATAATGTCGGATTAACGGGACTTGACTGTAGTTGGTATTTTCTTCATTTCTGTTTGATTTTTTCCCAGTTACCACAATATATGCATATGTTTTATAGTCTGTGTGAAATGACAGGGCAGTTCCAAATGGCCCACCCGGGACAAGACACCCTATTACCCGACCCTACCCGGGTACCCTGTAGGTCTAATTTGGCTACAAAATTTTCAGTTGGTAATTGTTTTACAAAAGCCTTGCAAAAGTTATTTAGATAGAGTATAAACAAATCTGATCATGTACACACTGAAGTTGACTGAAGCTATTTCTTTACACAAGCATTTAAAAGACAGAATGAATGTGTGCATAGTCCGAAAGAAATGCGAACATTTGCAACTTGTACTGGTGTAACCATGGATTTTATTTTTAATGTCATCCGGGTAGTCCTGTGGGTAACCGGGTCCTACTCAGGATCCACCTGACCCAAGTACCCGAGTTACCCGTCCCAGCCCTACTGTGTAACTCTTGTGGGATGGAGTCAGAATAGGACACCCCCACTCTCTTGCTAGTCCTGACAGACTACTAAACTGATTGGATGGTCAGGCTCGGAGTCAGAATAGGACACTCCCACTCTCTTGCTAGTCCTGACAGGCTACTAAACTGATTGGATGGTCAGGCTCCGATTCAGAATAGGACACCCCCACTCTCTAGCTAGTCCTGACAGGCAACTAAACTGATTGGATGGTCAGGCTCGGAGTCAGAATAGGACACCCCCACTCTCTAGCTAGTCCTGACAGGCAACTAAACTGATTGGATGGTCAGGCTCGGAGTCAGAATAGGACAACCCCACTCTCTTGCTAGTCCTTACAGGCAACTAAACTGATTGGATGGTCAGGCTCGGAGTCAGAATAGGACACCCCCACTCTCTTGCTAGTCCTGACAGGCTACTAAACTGGTTGGATGGTCAGGCTCGGAGTCAGAATGGGAACCCCAACTCTCTTGCTAGTCCTGACAGGCTACTAAACTGATTGGATGGTCAGGCTCGGAGTCAGAATAGGACACCCCCACTCTCTAGCTAGTCCTGACAGGCAACTAAACTGATTGGATGGTCAGGCTCGGAGTCAGAATAGGACACTCCCACTTTCTAGCTAGTCCTGACAGGCTACTAAACTGATTGGATGGTCAGGCTCCGAGTCAGAAAAGGACACCCCCACTCTCTTGCTACTCCTGACAGGCAACTAAACTGATTGGATGGTCAGGCTCGGAGTCAGAATAGGACACTCCCACTCTCTTGCTAGTCCTGACAGGCTACTAAACTGATTGGATGGTCAGGCTCCGAGTCAGAATAGGACACCCCCACTCTCTTGCTACTCCTGACAGGCAACTAAACTGATTGGATGGTCAGGCTCGGAGTCAGAATAGGACACCCCCACTCTCTAGCTAGTCCTGACAGGCTACTAACTGATTGGATGGTCAGGCTCGGAGTCAGAATAGGACACCCCCACTCTCTAGCTAGTCCTGACAGGCTACTAAACTGATTGGATGGTCAGGCTCGGAGTCAGAATAGGACACTCCCACTCTCTAGCTAGTCCTGACAGGCTACTAACTGATTGGATGGTCAGGCTCGGTGATTGTGTGTCATTACAACCCGACGGCATGGGGCTCTTTCTCATAAGATCAACCACTGTTTTGTCTGTCCAAGACTTGATTATTTGCATGCCATTATAATACAGCTGAAATATTGCTGACTGTGGCATAAAATAAGAAACAAAGCGAAAAGCAGCGTTAGAAATTGGCACTGGTCCTGTGGTCCTTGCCAAAAAGCCCAATAGTAAAGGTATCCTAAGGACTAGTAGAAATTGGCCCATTTTAAGGATTTTGTTCTATGTTATCATTCTAAGGACTAGTGGACTTAATATGTTAGTTTCTACCCCTGAATAGTCATTGTACGTTTTACCTTGCAGGACTCGCTGTCTGTGATAAAAGGCGCAATGGTGGATGTATCGGTGAAGGGGGCCAAAACATTTGACAAGTTCCAGTTTGAGCGGAATGGCTTCTTCAGCGTCGACCCAGACTCTACATCAGAATTGGTAAGTTGAAGATGTTTTGCAGAGAAATTTTACGTTCTTCAATAACTTTGAAGGGCTTGATGAAAATTGGATTGTTCCCAAACATTGATTTTTTTTTTAATAAACTTTCCAACAGGTAGTATGAACATGAATTGTGATAAACTCATGTCCATATTCCTTTCATTCAGGAAAATCCAGATTCCGATTTTTATGATTGCCTTGACTTGAAGCAGTCAAGAGAAAAGGGGGTGAAAGTCCATGAGCTTCCACTTCCTACTGCTTTGTGTTAGATCTGGTGATGAAGCATTATGTATTTCCCCTCCTGACTGCTTCTTGTATTAGATCCGGTAATGAAGAATTATGTATTTCCCCTCCTGACTGCTTCTTGTATTGAATCTGGTGATGAAGCATTATGTATTTCCCCTCCTGACTGCTTCTTGTATTGAATCTGGTGATGAAGCATCATGTATTTCCCCTCCTGACTGCTTCTTGTATTGAATCTGGTGATGAAGCATCATGTATTTCCCCCCATGAATGCTTCTTGTATTGAGTCTGCTGATGAAGCATCATGTATTTCCCCCCATGACTGCTTCTTGTATTGAATCTGGTGATGAAGCATCATGTATTTCCCCTCCTGACTGCTTCTTGTATTGAGTCTGCTGATGAAGCATCATGTATTTCCCCCAATGACTGCTTTTTGTATTGAATCTGGTGATGAAGCATCATGTATTTCCCCTCCTGACTGCTTCTTGTATTGAATCTGGTGGTGAAGCATCATGTATTTCCCCCCATGACTACTTCTTGTATTGAATCTGGTGATGAAGCATCATGTATTTCCCCTCCTGACTGCTTCTTGTATTGAGTCTGGTGATGAAGCATCATGTATTTCCCCCAATGACTGCTTTTTGTATTGAATCTGGTGATGAAGCATCATGTATTTCCCCTCCTGACTGCTTCTTGTATTGAATCTGGTGATGAAGCATCATGTATTTCCCCTCCTGACTGCTTCTTGTATTGAGTCTGCTGATGAAGCATCATGTATTTCCCCCAATGACTGCTTTTTGTATTGAATCTGGTGATGAAGCATCATGTATTTCCCCCAATGACTGCTTTTTGTATTGAATCTGGTGATGAAGCATCACGTATTTCCCCTCCTGACTGCTTCTTGTATTGAATCTGGTGATGAAGCATCATGTATTTCCCCCAATGACTGCTTCTTGTATTGAATCTGGTGATGAAGCATCATGTATTTCCCCCAATGACTGCTTTTTGTATTGAATCTGGTGATGAAGCATCATGTATTTCCCCTCCTGACTGCTTCTTGTATTGAATCTGGTGATGAAGCATCATGTATTTCCCCTCCTGACTGCTTCTTGTATTGAGTCTGCTGATGAAGCATCATGTATTTCCCCCCATGACTGCTTCTTTTATTGAATATGGTGAAGAAGCATCATGTATTTCCCCTCCTGACTGCTTCTTGTATTGAATCTGGTGATGAAGCATCATGTATTTCCCCTCCTGACTGCTTCTTGTATTGAGTCTGCTGATGAAGCATCATGTATTTCCCCCAATGACTGCTTCTTGTATTGAATCTGGTGATGAAGCATCATGTATTTCCCCCAATGACTGCTTTTTGTATTGAATCTGGTGATGAAGCATCATGTATTTCCCCTCCTGACTGCTTCTTGTATTGAATCTGGTGATGAAGCATCATGTATTTCCCCCAATGACTGCTTCTTGTATTGAATCTGGTGATGAAGCATCATGTATTTCCCCTCCTGACTGCTTCTTGTATTGAATCTGGTGATGAAGCATCATGTATTTCCCCTCCTGACTGCTTCTTGTATTGAATCTGGTGATGAAGCATCATGTATTTCCCCTCCTGACTGCTTCTTGTATTGAGTCTGCTGATGAAGCATCATGTATTTCCCCCCATGACTGCTTCTTGTATTGAACCTGGTGATGAAGCATCATGTATTTCCCTCAATGACTGCTTTTTGTATTGAATCTGGTGATGAAGCATCATGTATTTCCCCTCCTGACTGCTTCTTGTATTGAATCTGGTGATGAAGCATCATGTATTTCCCCTCCTGACTGCTTCTTGTATTGAGTCTGCTGATGAAGCATCATGTATTTCCCCCAATGACTGCTTCTTGTATTGAGTCTGCTGATGAAGCATCATGTATTTCCCCCAATGACTGCTTTTTGTATTGAATCTGGTGATGAAGCATCATGTATTTCCCCTCCTGACTGCTTCTTGAATTGAATATGGTGATGAAGCATCATGTATTTCCCCTCCTGACTGCTTCTTGTATTGAATATGGTGATGAAGCATCATGTATTTCCCCTCCTGACTGCTTCTTGTATTGAATCTGGTGATGAAGCATCATGTATTTCCCCCCATGACTGCTTCTTGTATTGAATATGGTGATGAAGCATCATGTATTTCCTCTCCTGGCTGCTTCTTATTGAAGAATGGCACTCTCAGAGCTTCATACATGTAGTTAATCCTGAACATGCGAAGGACAGAAGAAAAGGACTCAAAGCCTGCTTGGCTACATTTTGGAACTGCAAAATAATTCTATACTTCCTAATATTTGTTTGTTGAAAACAGTTTTGCTTGATTTCTATTTTGTCTGGAGAGCTTGTTTGCTACCAGTGTCCCTTCATACAGAAGAAACTTGTTTTTATGACAAAGACCTCTGGATAGGGGCCAGATTCCTTTGAACATTTTACATGACATACAATATAGCCTTGTGCAGTGATGGAAGTCATCAGTGCTCAAAACATGTGTTTGTGAAAAAACAAACATTTAACAGTTTTGTTGACATGTGAAGACTGTAGACAGGAATGTGTTGACAAGATGGAGTGAGGACTTAGATCATACCTCCTTACATGACCTGGTGATGTGGAAGTCCCCAGGCTGACTGGCAGAGTTACGAACTGAACCCATTGCTGTCACACTGTTACTTGGTTGAATCTGGGAATTGTGCCAAAACAAAATTCAGATCAAATATTTGCACCAATGTAGGGCTGGAACGAGTCCAAATGTACTACCTGGGTACCCACCTCGTATTACCCGACCCAAGCTGGGTACCCACCTCGTATTACCCGACCCAAGCTGGGTACCCACCTCGTATTACCCGACCAAAGCTGGGTACCCACTGTAGGTCTCAAGAGACAGGTACAGACTGTCCGATAGGGAATAGTGTGACTGTAGACCTGGCAAAATGTGTTTATATACACCTATAAAACATGTAACAAATGTTATATTTGGGATAACACTTTCTTAGTAAAGAACAGATTCTCGTACTTTTTGGGGGCTGAGTCCCATGCGGGATTCGAACCCACACTTGCCAGAGCTAAGCCTAATCGCCAGCACACAAAGTCAGCAATCTAACCCACTCAGCCACCGAGGCTTCCACAAAAATGAAAGTCCGGTAGTCTAGATCACGTACTTTGAGTACCCCTCTGACCTATAAAACAATCTGGTCATGCATACACTGAAGTTGCCTGAATATTTTATCATTATTCAAACATACAAAAGTCAGAAGGAATGGGTCAGAAAAATATGCGAACATGAAATGACTTGTAGTTTTAGATTATTTTTGTCATAAAATAATCCTGTCCTGTGGGTAACGGGGTGCTACTCAGTACCCACCCGACCCCAGTTACACGCCCCTACACCAATGACTTGCTATCATGACAGGGGTACGTACATGTACCTTTTTTAGGGATTCACAAAAGAGTTTGACACAACTTTCACCAAAAATACTCCTTAGACTATAGATGTTGCCATCAGTAATATCCAGAAAATGGTTCCCTGATGTTTGAGGTTTCATTGTGTCGGATAGGGGCAGTAGGGTAGCATCGTGGTTAAAGCGTTCGCTTGTCACGCCAAAGACCCGGGTTCGATCCCCAACATGGGTACAATGTGTGAAACCCATTTCTGGTGTCCCCCGCCGTGATATTGCTGAAATATTGCTAAAAGCAGTGTAAAACCTCACTCACTCACTCACTCACTCACTCACTCACTCACTCACTCACTCACTCACTTTTATCATGTTTAGTACAGCATGGTTTTCAGACAAACAAATAGTTAGTAACGAAGTTAGCACTGCAAATGTTCAAGCTGCCACAGCAACTATGTACAGCAAGAACCACTATGTGTGGCGAGCAGCAAATTATGACGATACATAAAATAATCCCTTGATCTTGCATGAAAGTATCTCACATTTACTCTTTAAACTCCATTTAAGCTGTTATCCTAAAACATCAAGGAAACCCACAAGAAAGCTCCATTGAATACTCTGCCGGAGGGTACTGCTCGCGCATGTTCATTTTGAAACTCCCATTGTGTGTTATCAACCTGTTCCTCCAAGCTTTAAATTAGCCTGTACAGTGGGGCTTCTTTCTGTTGCTACATTTTCAGTCAGTATCAAACGGGTTCCTCTCTCCATTGCCTCGTCACCTGTCAAGGTGTCATTGATCTTATCTCAGCTTGTTCATGTATTTATCTTATGCAATTCCCGTGTTTAAGTCTGGCAATACTCCTCATCTGTTTTACCCCCAATCTGATGACAGGGAGGGTCACATCACCGCAGGGGACTTAGACAGGGAGCATTCACTGCAGATCAGGGGAAGGGAAGCTGGCTGTTCAACCAGGCATAGCCACGGGTACAGGCGATTGTCGATGGCACTATCGGACGTATATATAACCATGTCTACCTTGATGGTAGGGAGCCAATTAGTATTGAAATTAAATCACGCTTTCAGGATTGTTTGTATGTTAGTGCCCCTTAAGATCCGGTTCATTCCATTCCTTGTGGTGTTTTAGCAACGATAAAATCAGTTGCAATTTCTTCTCCTGCTGAGAGAGCTATTTTACCTCACATTGAGCTGGTCGGAATTTTTGGTTTCGGGCTCATTAGAAGACCAAACTTGTTATGCTGGGAGAATGAAGGCGAACAGATTGACTAATTGAGTCTGACAGTCAAATTGAGAAAAATCCTGGTTGATAA